AACCATTCTCGTCTGCGGATGTTGATGAAGGAGGCGGGGCAAGGTTCTGCAGACTGGCGAGGTCCGGATGTACACTAGTAGGGAATGATCCGAAGTAGAATGGACGAAAGGTGAAGCGGTCTACCTCGTAGATGTGGGTTACCCGCTCTGCCGGGGGCGCGCGGCCCCGGGGGTGGCGCAGCCAATCACCGTCCAGTATAACAGAGAGGCGGAAAAATGCTCCCGCCGGCGGGCAATTTAAATGTGGCTCCCTCCACAACGAGATGGAATCCACATGCAGTAGACTCTTGTTACCATCATTATTAATTTTGAAATACTTACCCGAGAGCTACTAACACTAGTGACCTCGATGAGGACAGGAAGCCGGCGGCTTGTCGAAGGTCCCGCCATTTGCTTTAATGTGTGTACATTAGACACGGACATGTTACAAATGTCTTAATTAATTTAGCACAACTAACTGTCAAAAGAAGACGGTTAGCGCAACTAAGGATGATAATCACTTCCAATTAATGTGTCATGTTTGGAGACTTGTACACATTTGAGTGCAAATAGTTCAGCTTGAAGAGTAGAGGCTCAGTTGCTTACACAGTCTACCCACTCAAAATATGAGCCATCACCCATTGTCAGAACAACTGCATTTCCAGCTGTACCTGTATATACTATTTACCTTACTGTTTACCGTTCTGTCAGGGTACCTAAAGAACTTAGACAACCGTAATTCTGTAGTCGAATCATCTTCAGTACAAGGGAATTTTAAATAATTAATTTTGTTGGGGGTCAGGAAGCCTAATGTGTATGTACTGTACTGTGGTTGTATTGAGGTCCCCCAAGGTCGAGCTATTGACTCAGACCCAGGATGCAACCCTGACAACAGTTGCCTAATTCCCGGGAATCGAATCCTGGATCCCTGATTGTGAGTTGAGAAAGAAGCCAGGATGAGAAAGGAGAAGTTAAATGATAAGGGACGTGGGAAGATAGGGGTGGAGATAAAGATAATAAAAATGGGTATTTTAGATGAAGAGGGAGGTAATGTGGGAGGCAAGAAAATTGAAATTCGGAATGTAGAAAATGAGATAATGTAGAAAAATCGTTGATGTAGGTGGGAAAGCAAGATAGAGCTATTGAAAGCAAGGATGGGGTGGTAAAGATAAATTCACGAGATATCTTGGCTTAGTCAAACATTTCCCACCGTAAATATAGAACAGTATACTAGAAATATAGTATACACATACTAAGTATGATCAGGATCAGTGAAATCGGGGTCATAGGGCATAGGTAAATCTAGCAAGGACGATGGAGTCAAGGGATCAGTAGGATGGACCAGAGGCGGACTGACAGAGTGGAGTGGGAGGAGGCATCAGAGAGGGGCGGTCAAGGGAATCAGGGGGAGGGGGGGACAGAAACATGTGAGCGCACCTCAACAAGAGCAGCATCCGAGAGACAATCAAGGGAACCTCCATAGTTGGGAAAAGGGGGAACTGCCACGAAAATGGGGTGGGAATACAGGGATAGAGTGAGTTGGAAGGGGAGGGAGAGAGCGATGCCTTCTTACCCGGCAAGAAGGAAGGAGAGGAGCCAGGATTACGTTTCTGATGTAGTCACAGGTGTACCAGCAGCATTGTGCTGGGTGACAGTCTCAACAGGAGAAGGAGAACGGAAACGGTCAACATGAAGATGGCTGGAAGGAGGAGGGAGAACAGCCTGGTCTGACAGGCGGTGTGGAAGGCCAAAAGACAGAGGGGAGGTCTAAGAAGGAGGATTGGGCAAGAAAAGAAAGAGGGCACAGGAGACAGGTAAGGAAGGAAGGAACTAGATGGAGAACCAGGAGGATGTCCCTCTGGCTCAGAATGCAAAGGAGCAGGTGAGATGGAGGTGTCTGGGTCCAAGGCCTGGAAACGGTTGCAAAACTGAGAAAGTGGGAAAGTGGGAGAGGGAGAAGAGAAGTGAAATGCAATGCACGAGCATGAGACGTACCAGAGAAAAAGAGAAAGCTGCGTACTTGGCGTCTCGCCTGAGGAAAAGATAAATGATCGCGATGTTTCAAACTGAGGATGGCTCCCTCAAATTTGTAGTGCATACATGTGCGGGAGAAGGTGCGCCCACGTCAATTGATGCAGTGAGCTTCGGAAAAAGAGCACCGTCTTAGAATGACCAGAGTCGACACACAAGGGGCATAGACACACCTAACTTGTGTATTTGAAGGGTCTATGCCCAAATCTCCAGCACCAACTGCAGAGTCGAGGAGAGGGAATGTACTTTTGAACAGAGCATCTGGCACCAGCAAGAATTACAGCAGACAGAAGAGACCTATCATCAAAAGTGATCGCAAAGAGGCTGACGATGACCACGAGGGGGTCAAGTGAATGTATCAATCTGGAGGATAGAATGGCCTTGGGCCTCAAGGACTAAGGCGCGTCTGGGATCATCCCTGATGTAGGTTCGAACCCTCATCACGGTCCTTGTGGATTTGTTCATTTGATGTATCACACTATTATGATTTGTGTGTATGGAATGAATTGTGTGCATACGACTGCGGAGGTGACAGCGCTAAGCACCCCCAGTAAGGGGGGAGGGGTAAAAGGTGCAGTTGTTACAATGAGAGACGGAGCCACTCCAGGTGATGAGGTGGGTACTGGGGGCTTGGGGCTCAACCTTGCCACAAAGGTAGGAGGGGAGCAGAGAGGGGTAGTCTGCAGAATCAGAAGCGGCTAGATCTGGGCCCAATGTAGCAGCGGCTACAGAGCCCGGCCTTCTATCACAGTTTGGGGGCCTGGTCGCCCACCCCACGAGTGTGAAGTTAAAAGGAGGGTCAGATATCAGCATATAAACAAACAGGTAAGAATTTCATCCACAAACAAGCCCTCATACCCACTATGGAGCCACAATTAGAGGATAAGACACCCGACAAGATGGGGTCCCCCCACGGGTGCATCGTGGGTATACGCCCTACAATCCCCACCTTAAGAACCATCAGTCCGTCGAGATCGGGCTCGGCAACAAAGGCAAAGATTGACAATAAAAGTGTCCCCTCGCTTGACAACGTCGGGTACTACAGTTTTACGGGCGAGAGTGAGTGCCTCCCCAAACACCCGGTGTCAAAACAGAAGACGACATCTGAAATAATAATCAAGAATGGCAAAAAGTTGGTGGGAAATGACAATCATAAGGGAGAAGTGGGGGGAAGAAATTAAACATAAGGAAGAGGAAAAGACATCCAGCACAATTAGTGAAGATGGCAGCAGGAGCATAAGGCTTCCAAAGGACAGAGAACTGTCCCATGGTGCATCACACTCCGGCAGCCGCCCACCAAGCTTCATGATGACAATGGGCTGGGGAAGTGCATGGATAAGTTGAGGCTCAGCAGGCATTATATATATATATAGTGCTACAGTCTTCCAGGCTTGGTGCTTTCTTTTGATAGTTACTTATTTACTTGACAGGCATTATAACCAAACTAATGAAGGGATTATGGGTTCAAATGCAGAATTGTTAACACATTACGGTTTAAGTATATTACCTTAACTGACATGTTGGAGTCATTATTGTGTCCTTTAACTCAAGATCATAGAGGAGTTTCATGTTATTATGTTTTTTTAATCTTTTAATCAACATTTTCAGTTTTCTTATGTAAATTTATAACCTCAATAAACTTCTCAACTCTCAAATCTATGAATTTCTTTATTTTGAATCACAAACCTTAGTATTAAATTTTTTTGCTCATGGTGAGAGACATCTTTAGTTGAATCAACTAAGAATAGTTGATGGCTTTAGCTCTTTCATTAATTATTTTATTAAATATTAAATTTCATAATACATTTCATTAAATATTATATATACACAATTAATTAAATTAATTCAGGCTCTACCAATATAACTAATGAAGGTGCCCGTGCATGGCCCAGTGTTCCAGTTCCATTTTTCAACTTTAGTTAAATGTTCACATGTCTCATAGTGACCAAGGACCAAGACAATTTCCATTGTATTAAACACAAATCACATTATCATCACCTTAAAGTCATTAGCATCTTGGTGCTTACCTATCAATCAGTGACTAAAATTAGGCGAGATGTAGCTCTTTATGTCCCTCCTCCTAGCTGTTTATACTTGGCATGCCAAATACCTCTCAACATTAATGTTTTTATTTTATTTCTTTTTAAAACTGTGAATGGAATTGTCTTCAACAACCTCTTACAGTACTTCAGTATATTTAACTTCCTGACCAAATCGAAATGAGAACTTCCGTACATCTCTTCGACTCAATTACAAGTCCAGCTGCCACCGACTTCCCATTATCCTACCACAATTAAATGGGCTTCCGTTATCCACTTTATCTATTCTCAAGATCTTGTACATAGTTATCATATCCCCTCTGTTTTTTTCTTTTCTAAAGTTGTGGAAGTGAGTTCTCTCAACCTGTCTTCAAAGCAGAAATCTCTCAATTCTGATAATCTAGTTACAAACCTCTGAACTTTCTTGTTTCTGTCATGCTTCACAAGGTTTTGGTTCCATGCTGGAGCTGCATACTTGTAATTGTCTTATGTAGGCAGTGTGTAAGACTTGATAACCTCCTGTTTAGATTCTTAAATGACTTTCTGATGTTTGTTAACTTTCCCTATGCTGTTGATGCTATCCTGTTCACATAAGCTTCTGGTGTTAGTGTTGGGATTATGTCTACTCCCAGGTCTTTTTCTCTTATTGTTTCTTATAATTGCCTTCCCCTTATGGTATAGTTAAATACAAATCTCCCATCTCCCTTACCCATCTTTGTGAAGGATATAAGATGACATCCATCACTCCTCAAAATTGCTTTCCATTTTTCAGACCTGTGACAAATTGTCACAACTCTAGATAATGAGTTGGCAATCTTCAAGTAACTAATTCCTAAGCTGTCCGAGGCAAAGGTCAGAGCAAAAGTTGAGAGGAATAATAACCATTTTCTATACTTTGGGATCAAATGCAATTAGAAAATAACACTACCATAGGATAACAAAAAAAAGTTACACAGTAAATTATTTATTATGACACTGGTAAAATTATAATGAAACTTATGACAAAATATTACATTTAAATTTGCATTGGTACATGTAAATTATTTAAAATTCTTTCACATTAGAAAACAATTTTCTTACTTAAGAGTTAAATCAACCCACCCTCCGTATAGACAGTTCGTTATAACACTAAAGGGACACAGTTCATTAATGAACTGCACAAATAGTTCATTAATGAACTTGTTTCAGCTGTTACATTAGCCTCCCCAAATAATCTCCTTAAACAATGAATTAGTTTTCTCTAAGTTAACCTTATTTACCCAAGGGCCACTAACCCTAGTGGCCTCGATGAGGACAGGAAGCTGGCAGCTTGTGTTAAGAAAAACCTAGTAAAATAATAATTGTAATTATTTGCACACAATCAATTTTGATATCTGCATTCTGAGGGTTAAAGGACCCTGCAGAGATGCCTTAGTTTCCATGTCTCTGGTATTTTATGTCTTCTTGTCCCAAACTTTTGAAACGAGCGAAGGATACCCATTTTACTTCCCTTGATATCTATGTGGTGATAAAGGCCAATTGGTTTCCTAGCTATCACAATGTTTTGAATACTGGTGCTTTAAATGCATGGAAGATAGTCAAATGGTAATAATATACATTCAGCAATTGAAATCTGTGCACAGTTTCTTCCTTTAATAAGAACCCTTGTTATATACAGCATTTAGTCAGCTGACTTGGATCATATCTATCAGCTATATAGTTAACTTATAAACAGATAAGCCAACACCTTATATTCTATGTAATGGGCTGGTTAACAATAACTGGTTTGCGATACTTGGCTTGAACCCACACTCTATACATGATAAGCTGCTTTCCTCTGTTAACTTGCAGGCGGCGATCTACTAGGTTTTGCACTTCCTCCAATCCTGCTCCAGTCATGAGATCTCGAACTTCTTCTGCAAATATAATAAACACAGCGTTGAATGTAATTAAACTCTTTCTGATAAAAGCCCCGGTGGCTCCCTGAAGCTATTTCACAAAGTTTACTCCACTTAAACCAGGGATGGGGAACATCTGGCGCTCAGGTCGTATAAAACCCACAAAATCATTTGGTCTGGCTCTGCCAAGTCAACAACAAGCAGGACTCAAAATTAAATTCAATAAATCTAGGAGCTTTTTTCATAGCAACATAAATTTTATTAAGTGAATCATAATAATAACAAATTTTGAGGGACAAGCAAGGAACAGGATAGACAGAACACATACCAGACATAAATTTATGGCATAATTATGAAAATCAAAAATTTTAAATTTTGAAAATGTGTTTTTGGTGTGAGTGTCCTTTTTGGTGATTATTTGATACACACACACACACACGTGCTGCGCATGTATGTGAACATAAAGGCCAAACCAGTGATGTATGCTGCCTGCCCAACCTGCTGAAAGAGGTGGACCCACAGAAAAATGCCCATGTTCGGATACTAGGCCAGAAATCAAGGCTAAGCTGGTCACCAAGGAGCTAGATGGATCACCCTCCCCGAGTACGACTTTATTTTGGACAAGACATATAAGATGGCAGCTGCCTGAAATGCTTCCACCTCAGAAGCAGAATCAGAGAGGATCAGAACCTATGAGGAACAATCCCCACAGGGCCCAATGAACTAAGGTATCAAATGGTGACTGTGGTGTGTTGTATAAACAAAATGTTTGAACCCCAAGTGCACCCCAACACAACCGACTTGAATGCCCCCAACCACAGGCCTAAACAGAGGAGTCAATTAACCCTTGACATACCTGAAGAAAGGCACTCCACCATAGGGGCTGGGCCTTGAAAGGGTGAACTCCCAAATATACTAGAGAAGGTGCTCTGTCAATGCAAGGGCAGTGCAAAATGAACACTCAAGGAACTAACTGTTGGACACATGCAGTTTGAAGCATCAAATGCAAAGTCCCCACAGCAAAACTTGATAGAAAAACATGCTTGTGAATCAAATATGCTAAATTTGAATAATACACAAGCAAATGATTCCCACAGGAGAAGTCCTAAGATGGCACACACTTAGCTTAGAAACACTGGGACCCGCCACAAGAAATGGAGACCATGGAGTACTATTGTGTTGCACACGGCAATGCATCAGCGACAGAACTGTAAGGTGAGCTGACAGAGGACCAAGATCACAGCTGTCTGGCGGTGGTGATTAGTACTAATAGGTTTGAGCTAGTTTCGAGTGAATTTTTATATTTTGGTTTAATCATTTGAGGAGTTGTTTGGTAGTTTTGAGACTTCAAGTCTTATGAAGCCACCAGTTGTGTTTAAAGCTTCAATGACTTTCTGGATGCTTTCCCAGTGAAATGGCTACATGTCACTTGCTCTCTGCACCTATGTAAGGGGGCCAGGTTCTATCTGTGGTTTCCAGTAGGCCAAATAGAACTAACTCCCTTTAGGGAAAGCCACCAAGCGGCTCCCCCAAAACACACAACTGTAAAAACTCTCATGGTATTCCTACCAACGATGCAGTAACAATATGAACAAATAGAATACATAAAACATTAATTATATACCTTGAGTAAAGAAGTAACATCTTGTTCCATCACCACGAACATAAAAATTATTAGAGAGACATCTTCCCTTCTTAAATCGAAGTTGTGCCAAGTCATAGCGACCATAATCACGAAATAGTAGAATACCTCCAGGACGGATGTACTCTGCCATCTTTCTCACAACCTGCTCTAATCTACAAAAGAGTAAATATGTTAGCTTATAATATTTTAATTACATGGTATAGACAGTATTATGTATGCTGTACCAAATAGTCGTACCTATATTACTAGGCCAATTTGGCATGGACAATTTTGTCTAAACACCAGAGAAATTCCTGTACGTATATTTTCAATTATTTCTCTCAAAATTAGTCTGCTTCTAATGATATCAACATATTGACTGCATGAATTAATAACTAGTTAGGTCTAGTTTTACCTATGTAATACATTTGTGAGGATTATGGCATATTTGGTTTAAGTCAGGTTGCTAAATTCTGGTGTAAATTAGATGAAGCATTTATCAATTCATATGTTAAAATCTATAAAAAATAATTTAATGAAATTTAACTTGTTAGGTAACTCTGGCTTTTAGGTATGACAGACAGACAGACAGACAGAATGAGTGATTTATGAATATGGAGATATGCGACATGAAGATATGCAACAAATCTTTTAGAGGGTAGATAATGGTGTCCTAGTTAATTTCCTAAGCAAATATTTTTTTACCTGAATACTGTACTAGCAAAATTCAGAATATACCTAAAATATAGGATAGAACTTACTTGTCAGGAACAAGTGCAGAGAGGACAAATATACAGACAATAACATCTAAACTAGCTTTAGGGAAGGGTGTCTGCCAGTCTTCACTCGTCACATCACATACAAAAGCATAACATCTGAAAAAAAAGTAAATGATGTTGCAAAAACAAATGAATATATATGCTAAAGAACAAATTTAAATGAAAATCATAACTATTAATAGCCCTGTTAATCTCAGTTGTCCATGAGAGTCACTGACACGGCAAAAATGGAAACACAATGGCTAATATGTTTAACAAGTGAGGAGCTTAGTGTGCAGAGGACTAACTGGAAAGGAGACTTGAGTAGCAAACAAGAGAAACTGTTTTAAAATAGAGGAACTTGTCTTATAATTAAATGAACTAGAGCTCTTCGGTATTCTGGATATTTATTCTGACTACGTTAAAGCATGAAGATGTAGAGACGATTAGTTAGTTTGCATAATCTTCTCCAAATATACTAATTACTGTACATTTAAACTAGTACAGTATATTCTAATTATGCCAACCTGTTTAAAAATATTAGAAATTCCATTAGTGATATATAAATACAGTAGATGAAAAACACTCAAATATTTTGACTATACAGTACAGTAATTATCATTGATATAATGCTTAAATTAAAGAACCCACCTGTTGTCTTTATAATCTGGAGACTCTTTAACAAGGTTAATAGCTGTACTGGAGAAATCACAGCAGTAGAGAAACAGATCTTTATTATTGTTAGTTTTGAGAATGGGAAAGACTGTGTTACCAACACCACATCCCACTTCAAGAATGCGGAATTTAGCTTTTTCTCCTGGGTAAATTTCCTCTGCCACTGCATTTGTATTAACAATATTTATATCCTTACATTCACTTCTTGTATCATCTTCATCATTACAGTGCAAGGTTTCAGTAGGCTCAGTTAAGTGTAGTTTTTTCTCAGCTAAATTCTCTATTTCCACAGAGTCACACTTCTCACTGCCATCTTTTTTCATCATCAGTGTTTCAGAATCTTTATCTGCACATGCTAGCTGATGATAGTCAACAGCATGTTCATCTTGTATAATTTGTAAATTCGAGTCTAATGCCTCCGAAGAGTTAAGCTTCACTGGAAAAGTATGAGCCAAGTGTGGTGCTAATTCCGGAAATTCTGTGAAGAGCCAGTGTCGATCTTTGAAGAACCTGGAAGATAAAAAGATTTTTTATTATTATTTTTATTTATACACTTCATTATCACCATGACTTATCTTATTAACATCCTGAAACCTGCAGTGTCCTAATTAGACAAAGGTTTACTTGACACAGCTGTAAATTAACTCACCTAATCAATAAAATATCTTCTCTGTATTACTTACTGGTGTTACTGTATTTCTAAAGTCAGGAAAACTAGTAATGTCACAAGAATGTAGCTTAGCATGGACTTGCAGTACAGACAAATCCATTGATAGTCTGGCTCCAAATATAAGGAACATACAGCATGTATGAGTATTAATAATAATCAGGTACAGCATATTGCTTTATTGAGAAAGAGTGAAAAATGTGAACTTTTGAATATCTGGAAAATAACCCATATTTTTCATGTACAGTACAGAACAGTACTTTTAAAATTAATCTGAGCATTCATTGCTTTAAACAGGGCTTACAGGAATATGACATCCATGCAAATAAAAGGCTGCTTGATTACTTGATACTAATTAGATCAAGCATGTGGTTTTCTAAATTATAATTAATTAATTATGACAATAACTGGGAGAATTTGACAACATGGCTCATGTTCTTATCACAAACTTATGTTTATGAAGAAATAATTATTATATTGTAACCTTCATTGACTAATACTGTACAAATTTTTAACTACAGTACTTTGTAGATGGCTTACTCAAATAGATGCATCTGAATAGAACATGTGCCATTTTGGATACACTCTTGTCTTGTCAGACGTCACAACTGACATAATACCTGCTTTGCTTGTTATGCAGACAAAAGGATTATGGTACAGTACAGTTTGCCACTTTCCCTATGTATTTATATGACTAGCCTTTCCTTCCAGCAGATCTTCTTTACGTGAGAAACAGCAGAACATATTTGTCAACCCCATATTGGTTTAATGTAGGGTGATATAGAATATTTGAGATGTTATTCCTCTGTTAATTTGATTGACCAATTTGGGCAATATGGGTAGCATAGTTCCCTCATAAACATAGACCATTAAAATAATAAGTTTTACCTATTTTGATGAACACTGTAAAAATTATCCCACTGGTCAGCTGCATCCTGTTCTAGCCTCTGAATATCTTCAGCACTCAGTGTCACTTCAGAGTTCTCCAGTACCTTTGACTTAGCAATGGCCTCTTGATTTTCATCCCAAACAACATTATCCCTGTAGTTAGAAAAGTTGATGATCCATAATTGTTTACATTAATGAAATACAAATATGCTCCCATATACGATCCAAAGTGTCTCTACCTACAGTATTAATAAGTTAATGTGAATACATTTTCATAATTAATCATTCCTATTTGTTATTTTGTTATGACAAGAATGACATGCATTACAATGTTTTGGCTAAAAACTAGAGACCAATCTCACTACCATCACATACATAATAAATGTTTTTGAAAACATGATTAGGAATCAAATCTCGAATTTTAAGAAGAACAATATACTTCAGAATCCAGGTTAACATGGATTTAGAGTGGGACAATTTTGTATGTCACAATTACTCAACTACTTGAGAAAATCATGGAAGCATTAGAAAATGCAGAATTATATTGTCTGATGACCTGACATTTGGTGAACATAAAGCAAATATGGCATTAGCCAGGGAAATGAAATGATGGATTATGAGAACATTCAAATCCAGGGATTCCACCACAATGCTAATACTATTTAAATCACTGGTTCTTTCCTGCCTTGAGAACTGCTCAGTATTCACTTCTCTCAAAGCAGGAGAGTTCTGAAAAAGAGGGAATACAAAGAACATATATGGCAGAGCATGCACAAACACCATAAAACACCTAAATTATTGGTACCAACTCAAAATCTACTCTCTGGAAGGAGAGATGAGAGGTATCAAATAATATACAGTATGCAGCACATGAAAGATATCAATATTTGGGATCTGGAAGGCCAGGTCCAAATTTGCTTTGTAAAGTAACAACATACTGGCACAAATGATACAGAAGGAAATATAGAATAGAACCAGTGAAGAGCATTTTTGCCATAGGCACAATCAGAGAGCACTGTATGAACATCAGAGGTCCACTGCAGTTCAATACTCTCCTAGCAAACATAAAAAATATTGCTAGAACAAAGTTAGACATCTTCAAGTAGCAGTTAGACAAGTTCCTGCAAGAAGTACCAGACCAACCAAGTTGTTATTGAGATGTGAGTCTGCAGGCTGCTTCAAGCATCAGCCTATTGGATCACATTATCACACATCAAGCCTGGCCCCAGACCAGGCTTGGGAAGAAGAATTCCTGAAACCCCTCTCCAGGTAAACTCCAGGTAAGGGAATTCCAACTGAAACATGAGCTTAAATGCAGTAAATGAAAACTTGTAACTAAATATATACAGTATATATATATACAGTATATATATTATAGGTTTACACAGTTCTAAATCCAAACACCAATGAAGTGTGATTTAATCCTTCCTGAAACTAAATATCAGTACAGTATAGTAATTAAATTTTATATTTAGGCTACTAATTCAAGTTAACAACTATAGTTAACTGTAAAATGATGAAAATATATCTCTGTCTGTATGGTAGTTTACATGTAATGTAAAACATACAAGTTACCACTATCCTTAATGTACAGTATATAATTTCTTACCAATTGTTATACTTGAAAACCATTTTCCAATCCTTCAGTTCCCTCCCTCCCCCCTGTGGCCGACGTCGTCCATTTGTTTTGCTGGTCAAACACCGCCCCAAGAGGTAAGTTCCATTACTCCACACTCTTAAAAGCTTACTCATTGGGCCAATAAGATGTCGAAGATCTGAAATGAGTGTGTAAAGGAGCTTCGTTTTCTGGAGAATAATAAAGACAAGGCATGAGAAGCCTTGTCCATCGGCTAGGGTGGGGCAAGTCACAGGTGCCTCTACTATGGACTGGGGTGGGGTGGGAAGTTACAAAACTTCATCCGAAATGAAGTTTGATTTAATGTTCCTAAATACAGTTGCACCTCTAAAATCTGGACCTCTCTGTAACGGATCCCTCTAAACAATGGACTAACATTCTTCAGCTATGTTATTGTGACTCATCATCTGCAATGGACTAAATTAAGCCAATCTTCCCTCAAAAAAATTTATTTGTTAGAAAAAAGTGTTGATCCTGGGACTGGGGAGGTTGGGAACAGGGGCAGGAGCAGTGTCAAATCTGTATTATTAGGTAAAATAATTTCCTGCAGATCATATTTTTTTCTAAATTTTGTATATTGTGCTTTTTAATTGTTCAATTAAGGTCAGAATTTAGGCTAATGCAAGTGCCAGAAATTTTTCTGAAAACAATTATGAAATTATATCTATGTTATTTATTGGAAGTAGTTCCAAATATAATTTTTAGATTATCATGAATTAGAGAAAGAGTTCTGGGCATAAGAAAGACAATAGGCTTGGTTCATTTACAACATTTATAAAATAGAATTAAAGGGGCTGGATCCTGATAAATACTGGTAATGAAGGTTAAAATGAAACTTTGTTCTATTGAAATTCGCTGATAGAGCATGAGATTGTTCCAATTTGTATCCACAATTTCCTCCTGTGCTCCAATAGCCATAAGCCATAATTCCCATTTGAATTATTAAGTACTGTGTTTTTAAACATACACACCTCACTGTAGCAATATTAAATAATTGTAAAGTACTATTTAGGGGTTAATATGGCTGCAATTATTTTTTAAGTTTCATTCATAAACACAACACTAAGATAAACAAGGGGTGCCTTGGGAAAGTTATTCAGCATATTTAAAGCTAAATTTTATGGTTCATTTTCATTCTGAGTTGGTTCAGTTTTTGCTCACCCAGGAATGGCCCAGCAGCTTTTTAGAAATGATGTTACATTGCTGGGGCATGGGAAATAAGCTAAACATGATGAAATATTTTTGCTCAAGTGTTCTCCTGGTACTTGTCCATTGTTTGAAAAGTCAAAATGAAAATTTTGGTCAGTGAAATTTGCTGATAGTGTGTAGGAAAATTAGGGTATGAATGATAACTCCTTTAACTCTCAGTGTGGTCATTGTCAAACGTTGATTCACAGAGTAATGCGGTTCAATAATAATCATTGGTATGTTTTTCGATTGTGAGTGGGCTTACTAAGAGATGAGCATAATTGTTAATATTTCCTATAAATTGAGTAATTTTTATGGTAGATGTACAGTACTTGGAATTAACTTAATACAGTACTGATATTATAAAATGAATCACTCTACATGCTATTTTCACCGATATTCAGCTATAATAAAATTATAATTTACATGACTCGAGTTTTGTTGGTGGGGCTTAGTTAAATACACGTACATATGAACAAACAAACTGAAACACGTTATTGATCAAATATATTTACCCTGCATTATTGGTAAGGAAAACTGAAGGTGATTGCAATAACTGAAGTTAAAAATACACTCATTTTATAAGGAAATACAGTATAACCATAGAAGAAAATTAACCCCTCAAATTTTACCCAAATTGATCTCCAGTTTAAAAAATATGATGAATATTTTAACAAAATTCTTAGTGTTATTAGTAAGGAAAAGTGAAGATGTTTGCACATAACTATAGTTGAAAATAACTAATTTTATTAGGAAATAAGACTATCAAGCCAAATTAAAATTCCTCAAATTTTATCCAAATCGAACTACACTTTTAAAAATCAATCGTATATTTAAAATATTTTCCTAGTATTATTGCTAAGGAAAATTGAAGGTGATTATACACAACTGAAGGTAATTGCACATACAGTAAATACTGTAAATGAAGTTAGAAATATACCTGTTTTATAAGGAAATCTGGATACAAAGGAAACCAAAATTTACTAAAATTTTACATATATTGTTCTCTATAGTTTCAAAAGTAATACAGATATTGGTACAGTAAATTGAAGGCATTTGCACATGACTGAAGTTTATGAAGGTCAAGAAGCTAAGAAAGGAAAAAAAAAAAGATTGACCAGGATGATTTAAAGAAATAGTACTGTATTCACCTAGTTGTGCTTGCGGGGGTTGAGCTCTGCTCTTTCGGCCCGCCTCTCAACTATCAATCAACTGTGTAGTGTGTGTGTGTGTGTATGAAGGAGCAGGGAAATGAGACGAATGGTGAAAGTAGTAATTTAGCAATTTAGCAGATATGTGAATACAATACAGTGCTTTGGTATTTAATATTATATACTGTACTATACACTAGTATATAAATATTACCTCATTTTGATGTAAACACTTACCAGGCATTATGTTCAAATACATTTTTCTTGTCTTTCAAGAATCTGGTCCCAAACTGTGGTCGTTTCCCTGGACAATCATGTTCTTCGTTTTCCGACATCTTCAATTAACCCAATAATGTACTGCAACCAATTTATGTGAAGGTTTCTTCTTTATTATACTGTACATGAAATTTACAGGATGGTTTCAGTAAGGAAATACTTTTGGACTTGATTCATTACTATGGCTTTAGATCTGAAATTTTACATAATAAATCATTACTTTTCTTTAACACAATATAATTTGAAATATATTTTGTATGGTGGCATTCATTTATAAAAACAAAGATTTAAGTACTATATTTGTTTCACCAGCTTCAGCAGGTAAAATAGAGGTATAATGCTGAAAATTGAAATACTGTAGTAGTGTTCTATACTAAAAAGAGTACAGCACATTTCTAAGACAATAATTCCAAATATATTATAAATAAAATACATTTAACCATTCCTACTAAAAGTAAAAAACTAATAATTGCAAAATTCCTAGGGAATTGTTTTTAACCAAGGTTCTGGCATTGAGGCGTGTGTATAAGTTTAAAATCAGATATACAGTACAGTACATATTAATTTGCAAGCTGTTGCTTAAGGCACCTGACAGCTGGGTGGACAGTGCTTCGGATTTGTAGTCCTGAGGTTCCGGGTTCGATCCCTGGTGGAGGCAGAGACAAATGGGCAAAATGTTTCTTTCACCCTGATGCCCCTGTTACCTAGCAGTAAATAGGTACCTGGGAGTTAGACAGCTGCTACGGACTGCTTCCTGGGGATGGAGGCCTGGTGAAGGACCGAGCTGCGGGGACACGAAGCCCCGAAATTATCTCAAGATAACCTCAAGAAATTCCCACCATCCTCCCCAAGGATTATTAAATGTGGTATTACATTGTGCTTGATTTTTGTTATTAATTTTATAAAATTTACTCTTGTGATACATATTGACATTAGGCATCAACCGGCAATCAAGAAAAAGTCAGGAAAGTTTTCTGTTTTCTTCAAAGCAGAAAACGACACGAAGGATAGATGCCAGAGTGACAGAAGGCCCACCAAGCCACATCATTCTGCCAACTCAAGAAAGACAGATGTGAAACCAAGATGTCCTCTACCCAAATATCAGTCAAGAGCCTCAAACCATTTAGATAGGTCATGCAGCTGATCCTTTGGAAGAGGTGGAGTCTTGGGAAGGGAAGGAAGTCGGGACAATGAACCAGACATCAGTGCTGGAAACGCTATGCATATTAATGGCTTTTAGACATAGTATATACTAGCACTATCTACAAATCCAACATGGTTTGTAACTCTTTTTGTATGTATGTATGTTTGTACTTTTACCTGAATAAACATTAAAATAATCAATAAATTTAGTGATTTTACTATTCAACTCATTATTTATTCCGTTATTATTGTTAACTCCTGACTATTATTACTGGCCGTCTTTGAAGTACACGTCATCTTGATTGCAAAATATATATATTAGCTGCTCCCATTAACTTAGGAGATGGGTAAAGCTTTCTTATAGTGCAGATAGAAGATATTTGCTTGTGCAATTGCTATTCTTGCACGCATCACCTATACTCAAAATATTGTACATAAACATTAATAAAACTTTAGCAATTAAATTTTTTTTTATAAAATTTGCAAACTAAAGAATCGTGTGCTGAAATTCACCTCCAAAACTCCATTAATACAATAGTGCCAGGAAACTCAAACGGTACCAAAGTTTCTCTGTCAATACCAGGTTCGTATCCTGGCCAGGGAGAATTTTTTTTTATTGTTGCCACCAGAGGCGGCTAGTTTATTGTGCACCCCATACTCATCCTGTGAGCGGTAGCGCAAATAGCATTAGAGGACACAAAAGGTCTCAGACCTCATCTTAGAAGCACCAATACTGTAGCCTCTGTTCACCTAGCGGTGAAGGGTTAAACAATTTTGCGGGTCCTATTCCTAAGAAAATTAGTATTATTTACTTACCCGAAATGCTATGCATGCAAGTGGCTGTACAAGAATGTAGGAACTTTTGTATATACAGTATAAATAAATAAATGCGAGCGTCGTCACGCCATGCTCGACACGGCTCAGGTTGTTGTTCTCTGACGAAATGATCGCTTCTTTCTCTCACACCGCTCCCATTTTCTTTTATAGACAATGATGCGTAAACTTGGCTAAACTGTATGTTGTTTAATTTGAGCTACATATTTTTTATTAGGCATATTGGAAGATACTCTTGTACTCTACGCAGATTTTGTTAGTGGAAGCTAATAGATCGAGCTCGCATTTGATGTTTTCTCCAGATTCCATGTATGATTAACCATCCTGTGAGATGGAAATATTAGATAGACTCCCAGCTAGTTTTTGATCTACACTTCGTAATCTTTCATATAGAATCGGGTTGCAGCCCATTGCTGTGTATACTTAAGCTTGTTAATAAAAACAAATAAGCATACACTAGGCTGAACTATATACCAGCAGAACAAGCTGCACTGCACACCACTGTGCACTCTACAGTTCTCTAATTCTCACTTATCAAACAAATATTTACCACCACTAGTAATGTGTATACGTTATTTAGTAACGTATTTTATTATACATCTTTCAGTATTACCCTAAAATTTATTATGTAACCCATCATTATATTCTAGCTTTATTACATTTCTTAATTATAGAGGCTTAAAGCATGTATTTCAACTATACTGTACCACATTTACCTTTAGGTCATTCTCCAGTGGCCTTGACAGACAGTAAGTCGCCGGCTTGTCAAAGGTCCCTCCATTGTACCTGAGGATTTTTTTTTCCAGCTGGATTTTGAACTGACAATGTCGGCATTTATGGATTAGACGGGTAGGTGTTCCATTGGTATCAAGTGAATTTGCTTGAAGGCCACTATCTCTCTAGTGGCCCCAACAGGGATTATGTCAGCAGTTTGTGAAAGCTTCCCCCATTCTTCCCAAGGATAATTTTCTATCTAGAAGGTAAAAAAGTATCTCCCATTTTCTGTCTTACATGCTGCCTTGTTGAGCTTGAAGCTGTTGCTCCTTGTGTGTGTTACATTTGATCCTTTAAACAAGTGGTCTGGATTAATATCAAAGTTATTATAGTACTTTATTTTAAAGGTTTCAATGAGATTAACCCTATCATATCTGGTTTGTACCTTCAGTGATCTGTGAAGATAACCCGATAAAGTAATGATAACACAAACTAACATTAACAATACTGGTACTGTATGTTTATTCTGAGTAAGTTACTGAGAATAAGACACAGAATAAGTATTATAAGTAAGACACAAAGAAGTGAGAATGTTATTGTAGATACACAATAGTTGCTGTAGCTCAAGAAGTATTGCAGTAGGTGTCCCAGTGTTGATAAAGTTTGTGACCAGCCAGAAATGGAATGCTGTAGGATGAGATATCAATGATACTGTTGGGACAAGACATATTGGCCCACTTAAGGAAGCTCCTATTAATATCTAACCAAGCTCATTCTTATATACAGTACTTGTATACAGTACAGCAGTTGACTTAGGTATATAGACATTTTTATTTTTCATGCAACCATTGTAATGCTGTTAAATGTAGAGTACAGTAATAGGTAAATAAAGAGGCATGAACTGTTACCAAATATTATATATTTTAATTTATAATTTACCCACCATGAAGGGTAGAAATGAAAAGAATATTGTCATTTTCTTCTATTATGTAGTCTAACTGGCCATGAAGCTCCCAGTCAGCATCATTAATCAATACGAGGATTCCTGGTCGAACAGAATTACCTTGAAGAAACAGCTCTGGCCTATCCTGTATAAGATTATCTTTAATCCACACCAGCAGTTTGCCCACAGTCCACTTTGGGCCATCTAAGTCAACAAAATGTTGGGACACATTATTGACTAATAGCTCAGCACCACCTTTAAACTCTATTGTGACTTTCATATTGTACCTCTGATATAGGCTTTTGCTAGACTAAAGTGGCTTGATTTTAATTGAAGAAAATTAATCGTTGAATGCCTCTTTATGTCTATTAGATGTTCACAAATGAGATGGAGCCAAAACTAACGTTGCATGTCTCTCACCTGTCAAGAAAAAAAATTAACTATAGTAGATGGCATCCAGTAATTATGGAAAATGCATGTGAACACAGTACAGAATACCTGTATATACATATTTAGTTTTTATATTCTTTTAAGACTATAAAACATTGTCTGGTCCTGGAAACTCGTTGGGCTTTAGTTTTCAACTTTTTAATAATTTCTCCCATTATAAGCACTAATATAGTTAACCTGTCATCTTCACCAAATCCTTAGATTAGTCCAATCTTAGGTAAAAGTACCAATTTCTTTTTAAGTAAACATGGAGACAAAGTACTTACAGCACAATATTTAGAATATCACTCACTTTGCCATTGCCAACTATTGTACTTAAACTGTCTTATTTTTCAATGATGCAGTCTCCTCCCTAATCTTTGCTTTGCTTTGCTAATACAGTACAGCTGATAGAACCCCTTTAGGAATACACTTTGTAATCTGTAACAACAGAATCCATTTGAACAGACTACCATTCTATATTGTTTCACATCAATTCTACTCCACCAGCAACTCATCTATGGTATACTTCAACAACTCAAACCAGAGATCAACTTCAACTGAAGCTCTTTTATGAAGTCTTTGTGAGCTTGATAATTGCTTGGAGACTGATCTGAGACTGAGTATGAGCACATTGAAATGATAGCTCTTCTTCTGTTACAAGTTCTAACCAATATCTTTGAAGTGAGGATGAATAAGGATGTCAATAAGCATCCAGGAGATTTATGGATATCAACCAAGCCTATCAGTGAAAAGATTTTCTGACCAAGGCCAATGTAGCCATTCTCAGTGACAAGCAAGGAATATACTGTACAGTACATGTTAACTTCTGACAGCTCCAGAATCATATGCAATTTGGGAGAATTCACTCCGGAGATCACATCTTTCTCCATCGTCTCTGATATGATTGCTTAACAGAGGGAAGGTCAGCTGTGATCAGCCTAAGAATGTAACTAGCACTTGGGTTAATGTCAGTAATTTTCCTTAGAAACTACAAGCAGTGCTAAAGCATCCCTGACCTAGGTCTGGCTGAACATCTGCAAGTAATGTTCCCTATACCTTGGCATACAATTCTTGATTACATACAAAAAGAGCTGCTGCACAAACTCAACAGGTTTACCATGCCATGGCCTCTGAATTTCTACTTCATCCCTTCATTTCCATTAAGCACATAATTATTTGGTTAAATTTACATTGTAAATTAATAGATGGGGCTAGATAATTTAATATTAATAACAAAATGTTAAGATTCATATTTTTAGACTGTGAGAAGACATCAACCTAACTTTATGAAAAACAGGTGCTATTTAGCAAAACTCTACTTTAATTTTTTTTTAAAGAATTCGATGTTAAAATTGCTGAAGACTGAAGAAAGAGGCAAGTGCATTGCCATCAACAATTATTTTTGCAACAATATTCAATACAAAATTAGACTTATTAACATACAATTGACAAATTAAATTTTGGAAGGAAGTTTTCATGACACCACTTTAAAGGGAGATCCCAGAGATACTAGAATTTCAGACATTTTGGAGAAGGACAAAGAGAACTTGATTAAATATGATACAGGTACCTGTTCCTTTACATTTTCAAGGGCATATACAGATCGTTGAATAGACTCGTGTTGATATCCAAGATGAGCTAGAAGCAGAGTCAGCCTTTGAAGATTTTCTTCAGAATTCTTCATAGCATGCTCCTGAGGAAAAAAATAATTAGATAAGGTAATGTTCATGACATCAGAAGGCTTATACTGTATAACATTTTTAAATAAATTATACTGTACTGTACAGTATTTGAAGATTTGCATAAACAGAAAACCCTCAAAATGTTTAAGGACTTCAATTATACGGTACATTTTACACTATATAGTACAGTGCAATAATTAACTTATTACTTTTTGAACTACAATACATGTACTGTACTGTTCTGTATTAACTTACTTTCCAATGAATTAAAACTGTCCAACCTATACTTTATTTAGAAGTAGAACAATGAAGTATCTAATTGCATCTTCATAATATCCCACCTTGTGCTACAACTCACCCAGTATATTACAGTATAGACATGCAACTCCATCAATATAATTTATCATTTTATGCTGAGGTAGTTATGTGAAAAAGTTTTGTTACAATGAACCTATCATTACATCTATTTATTAGCTTAAGGGCCTGCAGTAATACTGATAGAAGCTATACTGGGCTGAGAGAGCTAAGGATATACTGTAATAATTAAAGGAATATTGTAAAATTTCAGGAATTTGAAACTTCCTGAAATTTCAGGAATTTCCAATTTTTGAGCTTGCAACATTTGAGCGTTAGAAAGATTGTATAAATCTAACTTTGGTAAGGTCTTTAAGGTAAATAAATATTCAGATGAAAAGTGTCAAAATACGGGCCTAAAAATTACTGTATATGATTTGAATTTTGTGGGCAGAGCTTAGTTTAACATGCATGCATATGACCAAACAAACTAACTGAAACATGTCACCAATCATTTTTCTTAAGAATGGACCAATTTCAAAGTTTCAAATACACAAAACTGATTTATTATTGCAAAACCATCACAAATCATATGGAAACTACACAATGTCTGTACGAGGTTAACACATCTATTGCATATACAGCAATTCAAGAGTAATGAGTGAGAAAATGTTATCTTATTATTGGAAGACTTCTATTTTTAGTAAAGGGAAGTGCACTTTAAACCACTGTTCAAAAAACAATTTTGATGGTAGATTACATTTTCACTTAAAATCTATTCTCAAATCAAATAACCTTCAAATAAAAAAATCAACAACAACCACAAATAAACGTGCCCCAATTTAATATTTATACTACGATAAGAATATTAAGATTTTCCTTGAATATAAAATATTTTGTTGAAATTGCATATCTCCAAAAATTGGTGTCTACCACTAACACTGAACACTTCTGGCACCAACTAAATGTCAGAATATTCTATTATTATTTGCCATTACTATTCTATTCAGTGTTATAATGTACCTAACAACCAAATTTACACAAATCTTCGTAATTCCCATTATTCCAGAGTGGGGGGTTCTGGGAGCTCTTTTATCCCCCAAAGCTCGGTCTGGGGTCGACTTATATTATGATAACTTGATCTAAGAGACTGTTGCTTGGAGCTGCCCACATATATTTCAGTATCTTTCATACTGTACATGTACTACTGTATTTCCATGCATAATCTGAAACCTAACAATGACAAAGCAAACCAGAAAATCATTGTAAATAAAAATAGAGTACAGTATAATTATGCAGAGAATCTGAACAAACTTTCTAACAAATACAAAATAAAATATCCTCATCTTTACACAAGCACTCATAATAATGATTTCCCATATGAACAGCATAACACCCTAATCTAAATACCTGTATACATATAATCAATGGTGTCTAATTCTAACCTGCAGAGCCATATTTCTTGCAGAATGAGTGAGCATATCAGCAGATTGTGATCCCCGGTTAACCTGCCTGCAGATGGAGCCCATGTTGTTAACGTTCACTTGCACACGTTCAGCCAAGCGGTTTTTTGAGTCCACAAAGAGATTCTTGGCACTGGTACTTGATGCAGATGCCATAGTACACTCAAACCTGTACACACCAAAATGAAGAGCAACCCTTTTCATACAAATCAACGTAGATCAGTACGTACAACTGATATGACTACCTGATTTACCAAAGTGTCAAATACTGTATAGAATATTATTACTACAAACAAATCAATACTGAATAAAATTCTTTGATGTCATATTTTATTTGAAAATATTACAACTTTTGATGAGTGCACAAAATTACATTACTTCTGAGCACTTTGCCCTTCTTCATATTTAAGTTTTACTTCCATATATCAAGGCTGTGAATAGCATACTATTACTTGGTCCTCTTTTTAACTCATACTAACATACCTTATTTTCATTATACTATCCACCTCTCCTACTGCTCTTCTCTCTTCTTTTACCTTTCACACGTCTTTTTTCACTATATCTTCCCCATTTTCATCCTACACCATCCTTTTGAATCAATTATTTATTTATTATTATATTAGACTATATGCTGGAGAATTTTTCCCCACAATGTCAGGGCGGATCTCATCGAAACCTTGAAAATACTGAACAATTTGGAGAACATTGATCTGGTCAATTTCTTCAAAAGGTCAGATTTAACATGAACAAGGAGCAACAGGTTCAAGCTCAACAAACTACAATGTAGGACAGAAAACTGGAGATACTTTTTCACCCATAGGATTGTAAACCCGTGGAACTGTCTACCCACCAAAGCCATAAACATTAAAATTCTGCTGGGTTTTAAAATTCAGTTGGAAAAGATCATCAGGGGCAAATGAGGGGGACCTTTGACAAGCTGCCGGCTTCCTATCCTCATTGAGGCCACTAGTATTAGTGGCCCTCTGGTAAATTCAGGTAAAGGTAAAACAGATACAGTAATTTAATGGACCAGTTTTCCAGAGGCTAAACTGAACACCATCTCAGTGTGCTACTAATTTCAAATTCCATCATATATACTTCAAGCATTAGCAGATAGTTTGCTAATATATATAAAACCTCAATGGACATTCTTGACCTATAATTTTTTTACAAGAAATGTTAAGTGAATCTAAAAAAATTGCACAAGTTGTTTTACCTAATGCAATAGCAAAGCTTTTAATCTCATTATCTTCCACTTTTATGTTATTCATGTTATAAAAGCTTTAAATAAGGTATACACTATTATCAATATAATATCTAATAATGGGGAAGAACTGTATTCTTTTTTGTTTTTACTTCAGGTGAGTACAGGAGTAAATGACTTCTGACTCATGTTAAGCATTACCCTACTAACTTTCCCTGGAACACGACCCGCCAATTGATTTACAACCAAGTTTCCAATTACTGGTTGGTGAACAGCCAATGATTGGCACCCGCTCAACCCTCCCTGGCTGGGCCTTGACCCCAGACACAACTGCTGTATAATATTAAAAGAATATATATCAGGTAGTTCACAAGTTCCTTCAAAACCTGTTGACTTTTCTTACATTTTAAGACCAAAATTTAATATAAATTTTTTTTACAGGAAATAAAATATATTTGACAATATAGTTTATTTTATTTAACAAATGAGCATGTTTAACACACATTATCCAAAATAGTGTTTAGCAGTTATCGTTTTGAATTATATTGCACAATTATTATTCAACCATCCTAGGACATGCAAATACTGTACTGTAGTGAAATTATGATTGATCCCATTTCTTTACCAGAAACAAAGGGATTATTTCTTCTTATAATCATTCATTACCTACATCTTAAGAATCTAAATGTGGTTCTACACGTTCACCTCAAAAACTGTAAAATACATGAAAAAAATTGATAAAAAGATTATCATTAATAATAATAAGGTTAATCCAAAGTTGGCTATTTTATTTCCTAAAGAATTATTTTTAGTTAAATATGGGGATACAATACTGATTGGTATCCCCCCTCCCACCTTATCTACATATTTTAATACAGTACCTATATTTATAACATACTAAATGGGATATCCCAAGGTGCCCAGTATGTATGTGTGTATACCAGTATATATATCTCTCTGTGGTTGTGTATCAGTTTCTACACTAACCATTCAACCCTTCAAGAAGCAAGGTCGTCATTCTATACCGACTGGTAACATTGCAAGAAGCAAGGTTGTCCATTAAAACATTTACTAAATTGGTCTTTATTCCAGTCACCAAAACCCGTTTACAAACTCCTTCCCTTTCTCACCTCCCCCCCCCAACCCCTTCTCTCCTTTCTCCACTCTTCCCCTATCCTCTCCACTCTCTCTCACCCAACATCTACCCCTCTCCTCCTCCTCTGTCTCAACTTCCAACCTCTCCACCTTTCTATACCCTTCTTTTCTTCTTTCCCTCCCAACATACCACCACTCTCTCTCTCTCTCTCTCTCTAGAGCGATGAGATTTTAAGGCCTGCTATAGATGACGAGATTTCTTTAAATGTGGCATTGGGGCTGACCCCGAGTGGCCTATGACACTCCTGTATCCTTGTGTCATGCTGTAAGCTAGGCGAGGCTAGTCCTAAGCGCCTGACCTCCAACCTTGGACAGGCGAACATTTTTGATAACTGCTCATTATGGATAAAGATAGAATTTTCTGGGATTAATTTTTTTGTATTATGAAAAAAGATAGCATTACTACAGCATTGTCATGCTGTAGTAATAATGATCCTCACTGACTTATCAAATATTAAACATCTAATAGCAAAAAAGTAACACACGATGAAATTAATTTGCCTATCAGGTGACCTGCAGCACAGTTGGCTCAACAGATTTCATAGCAAGCCGAGACATTTGGGCACGTTTCCTTACACTTAATGCCTCTGTTCACCTAGTAGTAAATAGGTACAGGTACTTGAAAGTTAAGTGACTGTTGGGAGTTGAATCCTGGAAAAGGTCACTTGTTGGCTAAGGGGGACCTCAATAACCCTACAGGCTTCCTGTCCTCGTGAATGAGAAAATGTATTCAAACACATACAGCTTTTGCAATCTTAAAATAAATGACAATATTTTCACTTATGTATAGCTAAGCCAACTTGCATATATAATCTTTAAATCTTAAGCTGAACTCAACCAAGTGAAAACAATGAAGTGGTTTTGGTTATACAGTACATATTGTATGAAAAATCTTAAACCTTATTTAACATGTAAAGGCAGGATCAAGATGTGACAGAGGTTGAGTACATTTAAAGTGAAAAAATATCTGTCTTCATAAAATTATTTAGATACTATTCTGTACAATACCTCTGTAGATAAAATTAATGCTAATCAACTTCTAAGTAGAACTTGCATGCTCTGCTGGGTAAATTTATCAAGTATCATAGCAGTTTTCAGACACCAAAATTTACGGTTTTACAATACAGAAACCTTATTAAATGTGAACGTCTAAAGTACCGCATATTCAGAATCAAGAGAGACTATTGTAAACTTTAATTTTGTAGTGTCCTGCACACAATTTCAAATTTTATACACTGTATTTTCAGAACCAATGTAAGTTAATTTCACTGCATACATTTTTACCAAAGCACAATCTAAGAATCATTTATCTTCCTTTCACAATATTAAACACAAACTGTAACTTTCATCACAAAGCAGGAAAATTTTCCTATATACTAGAGAGCTATACATATTTAGAAAGTTTATACATTACTGTATTTGAATGTTTCCATTACAGTACAAGAGAACATATACTATTTCTCATATTGTAATTAACAATATTTTTGTATTTAACACAAGCTTGAATGTACACTTGAATGCATGCATACATACACTTACATATGCAAGAATAATCACAAAAAACATGTGATTCGGTTATGTATAAATATCCACATAGGAAAAATTAAGCAAAAATTTTGAACGTTTTCGTATCCTACGTGGACCCTTATGCACACTTACATATGTATGCATGCAGATATGTATACACAACGCATGTGTATATTTTTGGTTCTGTTAAACACTTGCATTACTGTATTTTTAAGTTTTTTTGACATACAAACTTAGTGAATCAACATAATTTTCTTAGTAAACAATTGATATTCTAACAAGATGTAAGGCATCGCTGATATTCTATGAAATAAATTTACATCAAGTAAGGCAGCTATTGCTCATAAAAAGTGATCCAAGATTATATAAGCTTAGAGATTAAAGTTTCTTAGAATAATTAAATTCCTCTTCAGGCTATTAATAAGGTTTCCAAAAGGAACTAGTTCCCTGCGAGGTCACTCTAATTTCATTTAAAATCAAACCTATCATACCATGTGAAAACTTATGAATGTGAAAAGAACAGATTTGGGAAAAATCGTAAACCTTCATTTGACTCATCTCTCACAGCTTTAGCACATTGTTCAGCTTGTAAAAGTCTTTCCCGAGCCAAGAGAAGGGGCATACCACAATCCCTTGCCAAGTCTCCAGCTGATACTCCATCAACCTCATGGCAATTTAAAACCTCAACAGTTGCTTCTATGACCTTTTCTTGATCAAGTCCGGTAATTTGAACTACTTGAACCCCAGACTCAAATGTATGAAGATTAAGCGAGAGGCCCAATTTGTTCATGACATGACATGCTTGCATAACATCATCTGGAGATAACAACTCGAGTCCTCTAGCACGATTAATACGACAATAAACTTCTGACAGAAGCATTACACCACCTGCTTCTTTCACTGGGTTTTCCAAAGCTTGGGCAATTTCCTTGGCAAGATGGTGGTGATACCGTGTTGCTGACCCAAAAGCTTCACGTGTAACTGGGTCATCAATACCAAGACTTAGAAGATAAGATCTAAATTGAGTGGTATCGTCTGCTGATACTTCCCCAGATCGCTCTTTAATTCTATTTGAGATGCTCCTTGAAAGAGACACCATGTCCTTGGCAAGTCCCATTAAATTCTTCAGATCTTCAAAGGCACGACTTATGTTCTGGTTTGTTTCATCTTGTTTTGCTTGGATAGCACGTTCAATACCCAGAATGCCCCTATGGATTGTTTTTCCTACAGGCTGTTTTCCATGGTTAGGTGGAAGAGAAGATGTTTTTTCCCATTCACGATCACCTATATTTTTTTGAAGTGCCTGATGAAAACTGCTACACCCACCTTGTTTAAATGATAATTTTATACAAGAATTTGAACTAGCAGCTACAGGACCTGCTGGTTGAGTATGTGGTGGCTGAGCTAGATGAAGCAGCAACTTTGGACTCGATGTGAAACCACCTGCCTCTTCCTCAACTAATACAACTAGGCTAAGGTTTAGCCCTAAAGAAGAAGATTGATTTTCATGCCGCCAAAGTAACCGGTGATTTGTTAAAGTCAGGCGCCCATCATCATAGCCAGTTTTCTTGTCACCATCGTACAGTCTAATTCCATTTGCTGTTGTGCTAACAACTTCACCTGATGTTAGACTCGAGTTGCACCAATACCATCGATCCATTGTTAAGTCCTACCAAGTTCCCTTCTGCATGTGCTTTAATATCAAATATCACTAATCCCTAATTGTCTTTACCAAAATAATCCAGAAATGACAACCCTTCTGACATATGGTTCTCCTGCCACCTCCTGAAAAAAAGGAAAAAATAAAACAAATCAGAAATTACTACTTATGATTAAAAAATGGGTTCCAGCTTCAGTTGAAGTGGCAGGGAACCAACAGTCCTCCTTGTGAATTGATGAAATTAAACATCCCAAAATAATTACCTGTACACACCAAGTTTTGGAAGCATTCTTTTACACTCATGTAAATTATATACTCTATATGCAATCGATATTATTTATTCAAAGGTACCTCTGTTACTAACCATCAAGAATCCTGAGATCCATTGCTAGGCAGGGCATAAATTTTATTTTACCTGATGCTACTGTTCACCTAGCAGTGAACAGGTACCCAGGAGTTAGGAAACTATTGTGGGTTGAATTGAAGAGAAGGTAAGTAGTTGACCTTGGGAGGACCTTGATACTGTTTTTAAGTAGAGATTTCCTGGGCCCGACAACAAACTTATTATTAAATTGCTTGTACCATCATTTTTGTACATACTGTACAATGTAAATAATGCAAACACCAAAGCTAAGCATAGGTAGTAACAACAGGAGTTATTGCATTTGAACAATTTAATAATTGAATTTTGGTAAAATTTTGAGACCGAATTCTCAATACACTATAAAACATTTTGGAGTGAAACTGTATATCTATTTTCAAAGTACAGTATGCCAACTATCTCTATATAAAACCCATTTTTATTACATAAATTGACCTTCCACTGTATAGTGAATATTTTCAATGCAAGTCTGCACACTTAACACTTTCGCGCTTTCCGCAAAGGTCACTCAGCCAACCGAATGTGCGCGCAGCGTTTTTATCGCTTAAGCGTAAAAACAAAAATGTGTATACTCTTTTTACTCTTCTGACCTTAGTTCTCATGCTACGTATTTCATTTTGGTACCAACGTGTTCGCAATAAAATTCTCTAGAAGAACATCAGTAAAAAAAGTCACGAAACGTATAGGGATACCAGCACCAAATAAATAACTACGAAGATGACTCGCCGTGAGCGCCCATCAGCAACAAAATGTTTTTACTCTTGGGATTGTAATCACCTCCACACTTATTCTACAGCGTTAATTTTGGTATCAATGGACTCGCAATGAAATTCCCAACACGGTGATATGAATATAAGCGTAGAATAATGATGCGGCCCGCCCGCAAGAGTGTGGGAAGTGGTGAAATTGTTACCCGGTATCGGTGACGGGACGACGCACGGCGCTTTGAAAGTTTATACTTATTTCACTCTCATGACATTAATTTTCTATGTACGTCATTCATTTTTGTGTCAATGTGTTCGCAATAGAATGTTCTATGTGCCCATAGGTAAAAAATATCAACAAAGCGTAAGTTAGAATAGCGCCAAATATAAAACAACGCTGGAACATATCAGTGAGCGTCAAACACACACGAAATGTTTTTACTTTTGTTATGTTTGTCAAGTTTATACTTGTTGCACACAGTTATTTTTGGTTGTATATTGATCGGAATAAAATTCCCTAAACAGACATATGCATATAATACATGATATGGGGGAAGCATTACCAGTATAAACGGCTAAAGTCACCCACCTGCAACCCGTTTGGGACAAAATACCATTTGATCGAAGTTATCCACACCTTTCATGAACTTATTGTACCATGCAGCCTAGTGGTGAGAAAGAGAGCCTCATAGCGCGCAGTTTGAAACAAACCCAAAGTAAATCGGATAAAAATTGAATTTTATACAAATATTTTAAAAGAGGACTCAACTTTATGTCCACTATGCGTTAGCGTTAGACGAAACGGGACGCGCCGGCGCGTCCAGATAGCGCGAAAGTGTTAAGAGCAGTAATGTAACACAAGCTTTAACTAGAGTGCATCAGTTTTGTTTCCACTGCATAAGTCCTATCTATACTGCACAGGTCATCAGCAATTACAATTTGAATAGAAGAAAAGGAATTATCAAAATATAATTGATTACAAAACCAATTTAAAATGAGAAACATGACAGTCCTTACAACTATAACTAAATGGAGGGATCATCCTAAACCAGTTCCAAGGAGACATCATCCTGAAACAGTTACAAGGAGACATCATCCTTGAACAATTACAAGGAGACATCATCCTCGAACAATTACAAGGAGACATCATCCTCGAACAATTACATGGAGACATCACATTAGTTCTTACCCATATTAGTTCTATACACTAGGTTTATAACACTTTCCAACATGACCACCCTTACGACCACATATCCATGCACATATAATGAATAACGAAGGTGACATTACACAATTCTGATGTACACCTACACATCTGAAACTTTTCACCACACTTAACAGAAGTCAACCAAGTTCATGTGTACTCAACTCTTCAAAATTCTTCTATTAACCTTGTTATATACTGTATCTTTATTACATGTCTTCTCTAAAAGCTGTTTTAATACAAAAAAATTAATCCATACATCATCTTCCACGGTGGATCCCAACTTGTTTATCGCTGATCAGTTTCTCACTAATTTCCTGTATTCCACTATACACGTAGTATTTAGAAAACTAAGGCCTCTATAATTTTTACTCTCACTATGTTCTCCTATATTATTTTTTGTTTAAAGTGGTACAATTATGAAAGCACTGTCTAATCCATTAGTACTACTCCATACCTTCTGGCAAATTGTCCACACCCACTCCATTCCTTTTCTCCACATTTGATAATTTCTGCATATACTTCCTGAACACCTGCAACTTTCCAAAATTTAAGTTTTTTACCGTTTTTTACCTACTCCACAGACATCCACCGACATGCAATTTTGCACTCTACTCAGACCATTCAATCTAATTATGTTCACACTAGCAATTCTTTCAATACATCCACCTATTGGATTTATTTAGTTATGGTTGGCATTGTCAAACCTAAAACTATAATGTACAGTGGAACCTGGAGATACAAACGTCCCTCTTTACAAATTTTTCGGGTTACGCAATTTAGATGGAAAATTGGAATTGGGTTACGACCTTTGCCTCGCCTTGTGAATTTGTTGATACACGTGTGGGTCGACCAATCTCATGGTTCCTGATGGCTCGGGCGATGCGCGCCTCAGTTTACCAGTGTCTAACTGCAAAGTTTTATGAAAAAACTCGCCCAGATAAAGCTGTAGTAGGCCATTGCATTGACCTTCTTAGGACAAAGTGATGTCTCACTAAAGACATGTGTTACAATGTAGGGAAAAACAAGTGTCATTAGACAGATTCTTAGTAAGACAAGCAAGCAGTGAGCCACAACCAGGTCCTAGTGGTATGCCTGCAAAACGTAGGAGCGAGTACCACAGAGAAGTCATCACTGCCTGATGTTATAATGGAAGGGGACTCCCCTTCCAAACACTAACACCTCCTCTTCTCCCCCCCCCCCCCCCAAAAAAAAACCTCCTCACCATCTTCCATACACCAACAAGTCCTCAATAAAAGTAAGATATACATACTGTATTGCAGTACAAAATATGAGTGGTATTTGGTATAAAATGTATTTTTAAGCTAATATTTTTTGGCATGTAGAATGGATTAATTCAATTTACAATATTTCTTATGGTAAAATTAAATTGGTTAAAGATTTTTTGGTGTACGACGCATCTATGGGAACGGATTAGAATTGTAAATGAAGGTACTGTACACTAATTACAATATTTACTACATATTAACTATTATATTAATTCTACCAAGAAACAAAATTGCACATGAGAAACTAATTTCCTCTACACATCAGTTTTATATAAAATTATGGTATTTATATGGCAAAAGAGAAAAAATGAACACAGTATGTACAGTACAAGATTTACATATACCATTTCCTGTACACCTCAATTCAACGAACTGTATGGGACCAAACCTAATTCATTGCAGCGAGGGATTCGTTGCAACCGATGCCTCCAGAATGTACTGTATTTTCAATGCCCTATGGGCTAATTCCACTTATCATTATAGGTTGAAATGAAAATTTTGCTAACTACCCAAATTAACATGTCTAAAAAAACTTAACATCTAGTTCATTTCTCACATTCCCAGCCTCAAAACGCATTTTCAAAGGGTAGCAGGGCCATAACCGAGTGAATGAAAACCTTACCAACTTTAAATGAAAAACCATAAAATTTGATTTTAAATTTTCTCAATAGCTTTCTGAAGGCTTCAATTGTTTCTCATAATGTTGAGTCCATCTACAAATCATCAAAAATGTGTTTGGAGCCATATAAAGAGTTACTATTGTACAAAGAAATCACATTAACATGATTTACCAATGAGAAAATCAGTAGGAGCCATGAGGTAGATTTGAACTTGTGCTCTGGGTACTCCCAAGCAAACAACTTAGACCACTACACCATGACATGGTAAAAGCAATGGCTTCTACTGATTTTTTCATTGATACATAATGTTAATTTGATTTCTTTGTGGATTTGAAGAGAAGCATTGGAGGTAGAACTCCTAGACTACAACCAGAGTGCATGGGGGCACTGTGTGAAGCCCTGGTTAGGCTTCAGTTGGAAGCCTCAGGACCCTCTAGAGGATTCAGTTGAATCCCAGTTTACTTTGCTTCTATTATGTCATGGTATAGTGGTCTAAGGCATTTGCTTTGGAGTACCCAGAGCATAGGTTCGAATTCTCCTAATGGCTACTACTGATTTTCTCAGTTACCATTCATACCCTGACATTTCCTATGCTCTATAGGCATCCCTGGAGCATATCTGGAGAGAGTTTCAGAAGTTCTTCTACTTCCCGAGCCCGGCCCGAGACTGGGCTGATTTCATTGTGCAAAATTTTAATTCCAATCTGTCATACGAAGGGCAACAACCAAGAGAACCTGTTTATATAGTGATGTAACCACATCTAGCTAATTTTTCACAGCCGAGCCTCGAAAATCTCATTTTCAAAGGAAAAGGAGCTCATTTTTACTGAACAAAAACCCTCTACAACTGGAAATAAGAAAAAAGTCAGAAAAATTCGGTTTTAAATATACTTAGTGACTTTCCCAAGGCCCCAACTATTACTTGTTATGTTTCACCCATCTCTGAACTCTGTCCCAAAATCCTAAACAAATCCACACATCCCCTGCTTCAGCGAAATCTTGTTTGTCAAATCAGGTGAGTAAATCCGGCAAGGAAAGTGTGCTCTCCAACTGGAGATTCACTGAATCGAGGTGGGTCGAATCAAGGAAGTTTCATGGGTATATACCAATCCCGAGTCAAAATACACCTCATTACTATACAATGTACTTTGCCTAAATCAGAGCCATACCTATCTAAATACAGTACAGTACAGTATAGTGCATTGCTGTAGATTAATTATTCTTACCTTAAAATAACAGGTAAAATGCTTAAATTTTCCGATGAAAAGAACGTTTCAGATCTCTGGATATGGTGAAAGTGTCACACCTAAACCTGAAGAACAAACAATATGTTTTAGAATAAATATGTCATCACATTTTACATTCAAAACAAATAAAAAATATTGAGAATCAGTTACTGGTTGAAGAGCATAAAGTGCTAATAATATAAACACAAAAGATGAGAGCAGATTTTTTTTTTTCATAAACAATAGTCATGGGAACAGCATTTATCCGATTTGATAAACCCCTTTAAGGCAAAATAACCGAGTCTAATCACAAAATGGTGTTTATCTACATACAGATCAATTATTAACACTTATTTCTTTACCTAAATATTATTAGTTCTCAATTAGCATTGTTACTGCAATATTAACTATGACAATATGCTCAGCTATATAAATCATTTATTTACAACACTAAATTAGACATTACAACTAGGCTTACTATACCACCACCTGATGGCAGTAGCAGCCAATGCTGAAACCAACAACACATTCTTTGTTTTTCAGTTTTATATTCAGTTCAACTGCACAATGTATTGGGTTGGGATAGGCTAAAAAATTTGGGGACTAAGATAAGAGTTTTAAGTTTGGTTGATAAGGTTAGGCAGTCCTATTCCCACTTATATAAAGAACCATTTAGTAATTTATTAATAACAATACTAAAATTAATATTATTATTATTTAATACTCAATACAGTACTATTAATAATACTCAAATTATATTACAATGTACCTGTTGATAAACCTCAAATTTTATCAGCTTTGAATTCCGGGTGGAACAGAAATGGTTGTGCATATTTCCTTTCACCTAATATATCTCAGTTCATCTAGTAGTAAACATGTACCCAAGAGTTAGACAACTTTGTGTAGGGGTTCAGTCCCTGAGCCCATTATGTGCCACTGTAACCCTTTCCACTACCGCCCACAAGATGGGTATGGGGTGCATAATAAATGAACTAAACTAACTTCATCCTGGGGATGCCAGTAGTTTGACCTTGGTGGATCTCGATCCTAGCCTGAAGTATTTATTTATATACAAGGAGGAACTTTGGGTTTATTAGAGTACAGAGAATTGAAATTTTACATATACAGTACAGTATACTATACATGTGCTATACACAAGCTGCCTTCCACTGACAAAAGAAATTATTACTATTATTATTATGGTAGGCTGGATTAGGTTAGGTGAGGGTACTCTGAGTTAGGTTGATTTGAAGTTGTTGGGAATAGTTTTAGATACAAAGTGACCTGTATCCTACCAGCAAACTTTGATCAAAGTCAGTGTATATGTAATTTATAAGTAATTTTTTCTAACAGCTCTAAAGCATAGCCAAGGATTCTAGGGAAATACTCTACTGTATTCCACAAAGCTGGTGGGACACAAGTACCAAGTTGTACACGTTAATTCATGAAAATCAGTACTGTATAAATGTATAACTGCACTTGCAAGACATTGTTCAATCCAGAAGCGAGCCCACTCCTAACACTTACACCCAAATGCAAATGTTTATTCAGGTAAAGTACATACATACAAGGGGGTGACACAAATATTGATGAATTTATAGATAAGAGCTAGTACACACATTACCTAAAGCCACTATTACGCAAAGCGTTTCGGGCAGGAAACCATGACACTGCGTCACCTAGCACTAACCCTGACTCATTACCACTTGCTACGGCCGTGGGAACACCACAATAAACCTGTAACACTGTACAAGGCTGGTATTGACGTACACGGTGGGAGGACGTGTGAGGGAACGAGGACGTCTCATGTGGGAGCAAACATTCCCTGGCCACAGAAAACGGCCGCCAGCTCCTCCAACCAGGGTTGTCAGGTACAAATTGCTGAAAGTAGCGAGCTGACGGTCTAAAAGTAGCGAATTTGTAATAGGAGTAGCCCAATTTTTTGTTTAGTGACTGATACGGGTTTCAAAGTAATATATTTTGATATATAGAGTACACTCCACGATGTTAATTGTATTATTAATATTATTTCTGCACACACACACACACATACAATATATTTACACACATATATATATATATATATATATATATATATATATATATAGTATATATATATATATATATATATATATATATATATATATATATATATGTCGTACCTAATAGCCAGAACGCACTTCTCAGTCTACTATTCAAGGCCCGATTTGCCTAATAAGCCAAGTTTTCATGAATTAATGTTTTTTCGTCTACCTAACCTAACCTAGCTTTTTTTGGCTACCTAACCTAACCTTACCTATAAATATAGGTTAGGTTAGGTTAGGTAGGGTTGGTTAGGTTCGGTCATATATCTACGTTAATTTTAACTCCAATAAAAGAAAATTGACCTCATACATAGAGAAAAGGGTTGCTTTATCATTTCATAAGAAAAAAATTATAGTAAATATATTAATTCATGAAAACTTGGCTTATTAGGCAAATCGGGCCTTGAATAGTAGGCTGAGAAGTGAGTTCTGGCTACTAGGTACGACATATATATATATATATATATATATATATATATATATATATATATATATATATATATATATGTCGTACCTAATAGCCAGAACTCACTTCTCAGCCAACTATGCAAGGCCCAATTTGCCTAATAAGCCAAGTTTTCATGAATTAATTGTTTTTCGACTACCTAACCTAACTTTTTCGGCTACCTAACCTAACCTAACCTATAAAGATAGGCTAGGTTAGGTTAGGTAGGGTTGGTTAGGTTTGGTCATATATCTACGTTAATTTGAACTCCAATAAAAAAAATTCCCCTCATACATAATGAAATGGGTAGATTTATCATTTCGTAAGAAAAAAATTAGAGAAAATATATTATTTTAGGAAAACTTGGCTTAATAGGCAAATCAGGCCTTGCATAGTAGGCCGATAAGTGCGTTCTGGCTACTAGGTACGACATATATATATATATATATATATATATATATATGTCGTACCTAATAGCCAGAACGCACTTCTCAGCCTACTATTCAAGGCCCGATTTGCCTAATAAGCCAAGTTTTCATGAATTAATGTTTTTTCGTCTACCTAACCTACCTAACCTAACCTAACCTAGCTTTTTTTGGCTACCTAACCTAACCTTACCTATAAATATAGGTTAGGTTAGGTTAGGTAGGGTTGGTTAGGTTCGGTCATATATCTACGTTAATTTTAACTCCAATAAAAAAATTGACCTCATACATAGAGAAAAGGGTTGCTTTATCATTTCATAAGAAAAAAATTATTGTAAATATATTAATTCAGGAAAACTTGGCTTATTAGGCAAATCGGGCCTTGAATAGTAGGCTGAGAAGTGAGTTCTGGCTACTAGGTACGACATATATATATATATATATATATATATATATATGTCGTACCTAGTAGCCAGAACTCACTTTTCAGCCTACTATTCAAGGCCCGATTTGCCTAATAAGCCAAGTTTTCCTGAATTAATATATTTACTATAATTTTTTTCTTATGAAATGATAAAGCAACCCTTTTCTCTATGTATGAGGTCAATTTTTTTTTATTGGAGTTAAAATTAACGTAGATATATGACCGAACCTAACCAACCCTACCTAACCTAACCTAACCTATATTTATAGGTAAGGTTAGGTTAGGTAGCCAAAAAAAGCTAGGTTAGGTTAGGTTAGGTAGGTTAGGTAGACGAAAAACATTAATTCATGAAAACTTGGCTTATTAGGCAAATCGGGCCTTGAATAGTAGGCTGAGAAGTGCGTTCTGGCTATTAGGTACGACATATATATATATATATATATATATATATATATATATATATATATATATATATTGGTGTATACTGGCAGCAGGTTTTCTTTCAAACATGTTTCATTGAATATGACCGCATATTCTGTATTTATTATTTTCTGGTTTAGGGCTTCTATCCCTCTAACTATTTTCTTAGCATCAGGGCTTAATTGAAATAGGAGTTCTCCAAAACTCATTTTCGTACTTTTAAGGTGAAGAAAAGAAGTGATTTACTATAGAGTGTATTACACTTATTTGTATAATTTGCACGTTTCGAACCTCCATGGTTCATTCTCAAGTGAACAGATCTTACAATACTAGTTGATTTTATACCCGCATTAGGTCAGGTGATAATACAATGAAGGTGAAAACATGGGGGGATACATAAGGGATAAACATAGGGGCTGCAGAAGGCTTATTGGCCCATACGAGGCATCTCCTATCTAAACACAAAGATTAATCCAGTGTAATTGGCCTGTTATGTTGGACATTGTCTTCTGTGTTGGCATCGATATGTTCTTGTCTTGTCTTGTCTCAATATTATTAATTATAACAGTAATCGAAAAAAGTCATAGTTTGTATATACAAGAGATGAAACAGAGAGCCATGAGCTAGAGCGATGTGCTGAGTCCATAAGGAGGCCGAGCTTCCAGAAATACCTTCCCGTGATTGGCTGTTGCGGGGAATACCAACACCCTTTTATGAATAAAATTTTAACTAAGAAATAGGTCCTTGTGCACAACAACAAGGTTATTGTGAAAAAGAACAACAATTTCTGTTTTGCACCTGACAGAAATCTCCATCTAACTGAATAATTTACTCGAATAAGAGGGCAGAGCAGCGTATCATTATTTGTGTCAAGGCAACCGCTAATAATAACGTCCCAAGTTAGGTAGCCAGCCCATGTTTCTGTAACACCCGTTACATCCTGTAGTATTTAATTATCACTATATTAATATTTTTAAATACTTAACATTTCACTTTTTAGGTAGATTAAAGTTGAAGCAGAATGTCTTAAGCAAGGATGGTGTGCTGAATAAATATGATTTATTAAGTGGATGGAGCCTTTAGCTGATCCCTTCCTGTAATTGGCTGTTGCTGGGAATGCCAACACTCTTTCTATAAATTAAATGCAAACTAAGAAATACGTCTTTTTGCACAACAATATCTTTATTTCAAACACAACCTCTTCTTTTTATACCTGGTAGAAATTTCCATCTAACTGAATAATCGAGTTCAATAAGAGAACGGAGCATTGTATCATCGATATTATTTGCGTGAGGCAACCCCCCACTGATGACGTCACTAGTTAGGTAGCCAGCCCATGTTTCTGTAACACTCGTTACGTATTGCAGTATTTAATTATCACTTTATTAATGCTTTTAAATACTTAACCCTTCACTTTTTAGGTAGATTAAAGTTGAAGCAGAATATTATAAGCAAGGATGGTGTGCTGAATAAATATGATTTATTAAGTGGATGGAGCCTTTAGCTTTAGCACCCCATATCACTTGTGGGCAGAGCTTGGAACCTCCTACCCGAGCACAACAACCTGCCTTATGGGTTGCTGTTTGGCTATTTATAGTGCGTTGGAAAAAAAAGAGATGGCGCTAGTTGTATTTTGTGGGGTAATTTGTTATAAGTGTAATTTGATGTCAACAGATGGCGTAAGCTGTATCTTATGGCCACTGTTGACCAGCCAGTTGATAGTGTTCTCTTGTGCCGACAGATGGCATCAGCTGTATCATTATTACTTCCGAATTCCCTTCACTGATCTACAAATCCCTTGGCTTATGATAAGGTTTTATACCATTTATGATAAGTATTAGATAACTGGAGTTCTGCAATTACTTTTATTTATCAACTGTTCAGGATATCATCATATAACGTCTGGTTAGGACGTACTGCTCTCGATTGATGATGATTAAGCCACCCAAGAGGTGGCACGGGCATGAATAGCCCGTAAATGCTGCTCTCGTATATTCAGGGGGGTGGGGGAACTATCAAGTGAAAGCGCCAAGTCATTACGACTATATAGCACTCGGAAGGGGTCAGGATACGGATTTGGGATGGGACGGGGTAAAGGAATGATGCCCAACCTCTTGGACAGTCGAGGATTGAACGCGGACCTGTAGGAAACGAGACCCTTGCTCTACCGTCCAGCCCAAGTGGTTAAGCGTAATATTATTAAAACAACAACTTATGCATATAATAACAGCATTTCACACTAAAAATACTTGGATATATTGAAATTTGGTAGTGAATTCCAACCTAGGAATCTCCTATGACTAAACTGTACTTTTTAATCATTTTTATGTACTTACTACTTATTATTAAATTATTAAGTACTTACTATAATAATTAAATGAATTATTTTATTTAATATTTAAATTAAATGATAAAATAATAGGTAATAATAAATCATTGTGTAGGGGGACAGGCAGCCAGTGTATATATACATGTTAGGCTTATACCAAGGTGCCACAAAGGTGCCAAATTAAAGACTGGGAGCTGCCGGGGCGGGCCCAAGGGCTGCTGGCGGCCCTGGCCAGGCTGAATTTCCGCGCCCTTATAATCACCATTGTTTAATAATCTTCACAGGGAGAAACAACTGTAAATAAAGGAATAGTTTATTACAACATACCCGGTAAAGAAAACAGCTCGGAAACTAAGGAAATAAAGCTGCCGAAAAAACATTAAAGTCCACTTCAAGTTCAAGTATGTTTATTGAGACAATAAAAAAATACATCTCAAAGGGATAGAGTAGCTTAGGCTATTTCTACCCCCCCCCCCCTACTTCAAGTCCCTCAAGGGGCGCACAAATTCAGTGAGTACAAATACACAAATCACAGCACAAGAATCCCATTTAACATAGCAGGTTAAAATAGGAAGCACAGCATATAAGTGTTACAAGTGAGTTACAAGTTACAAGGGAACAAGTGAGAAGGCGGTGGAGGCCAAAACCGGAATTGCACACTGATTTTAATGCAGATATGTCGTGATTATCATAATATAAAGATGTTAAGGCACGAAAACCTTTTTATTCGTTAAATTTTATAAGGCAATTAAAAGATCCTAACTCACAGCCCCTCTGTTCAAGTCCCAAATTTTCAAAATTTGAAATTTTTCAGATTTTTCAAGTTCAATTTAAAAAAAAAAATTGGGCTACTCTTATTACAAATTCGCTACTTTTAGACCGTCAGCTCGCTACTTTCAGCAATTTAGCTCTGGCATCCCTGGGCAGCGGTGCGCGGGCCCAGAGCTTCAGGCAGCTGCACCACCACGTTGTCTCCGCAGAAATTTCCATGATTTGTGATTTCTATCGGTACGTTCCATGCTTTATTTAAATGTATTTGGTGTGTATATTGCCTCATTAACACAGAGTAGTAGAATTCATGTATAGGCACGTATACTACGGAGTAAATGGACACTTGAAAAAGTAATTGTCAAAAAGAAGGCACCGAAAAATGGACAGTTGAATGTATTGGCTTTAAAAAGGCTTAGTAATATATCTTGCAATCATTAATTGTTTCAGTTGCCTTTGCAGTATTCGTTTTACATATATTTTACGGCTTATCGATTATGTGCAGTTAATTGGAAAGCTTAGCAGTTCCCGTGGCGTAAGTGGTAAGACACTCGCCTGGTGCTTTGGCCTGGGTTCGTATCCTGGCTGGGAAGGATTGACTGGGCGCCAATCTTTAACTGTAGCCTCTGTTCACCCAGCAGTTTATGGGAACCTGGTTATTAAGCGATTTGGCGGGTCGTATTCCGGGAAAAATTAGGATTAAGGACCTGCCCGAAACGCTATACTGTACAACAACGTAAGAACGCTTGTATATATAAATAAATCAAATACAAATCTCATGTTAGGCTCAGTTAATGGAACATTCCTAAGAATTCAATGTAAACAAGCCTGTCAACATTGAAATTTGGTTTATTAGAACGTTTTTGCAATGAACTTGTTAATACAGGGAAGTTGAGGAATATTATGAATATAAATACTGTAGTGTTTATTGCATTGTGAGGACAGTTCAGTCTCGGGTACCAACCTGGCTGGCTCTAATTCTGTTTGGGCACTAGGTCAAAACAGCTAATTATGCCATTCAAAGCGTGAGCTAAATGTGGTCATTTAAAGTCTAAACACATACATGTAGACAGCTGTGGGCTCCCTGGTGTTGGTGGACCCTAGGTAATAGCCTATTCGGCTTACTGGGTAAGACTTTCTTGGTGCCAACGAATTGTTTATGTAGGATAAATGTACTGAAATGCGATATTTTTAGCTCTGCTGGAAATAGTAGTGAATGCCTTTTGTTATGCATATAGTTTATCATTTCTTTAAGTGGTTTCCTTTATCTACTGGAAGAAAAAATGTGAATACTGTATATGTAATGTAATAATTATATGTAGTTTTTAGGTTACAAGTTAACTTGCGCAATTTCAGTCAACATACAGGCTTAGCGAGTTCTCATAATAAGTTGCGCCATTTCATATAAAGTTAGTTAAGATCTATTTCTAAATAGTTAAATTTTCACCTGCCTTTAATCTAGTTCCCCATACAGTAAAAGCTGAACTGCCAGAAATACTTAAAGCCTAATATTTTTTTCAGCTTTGACACCCCCTACCCGTCCTGTAGTGTAGACGGTAGTGAAAGGTTACAGAGACATAATAGGGCTCAGGAACTGAAAATTTACTAGTCAACTGGTTTTGTTACTTGCTGCATACATACATCTTATTCAAACTGCCACATGAAACATTGTCCTAATCTTGTTGCTTGCCCGATAAATGTGTTTCATTTGACACATTTCATTTTGATAGACAATGGATAAGCAATATATATGTAATTCATATTTGAACTCCGACCTACTCTGTTTAAATTCATCTGAGTTTTCTTTCGATGACACATTTTAGGTTTTGGTTTGATAGTCCAATATTTTATTCTACATTTTTATTTACTGCAAGCCTGGCAAAATATATTAACTTTTATCATGGTCTTGAAGGCCTATAGCTCAGACCACTACCACAGAAAGTGCTGCTGCCCCTGGTAAGAGCTGTCCAAATGATAATTAATCTGTGTAAGGGGCATCGCGTAGAATACATATTTCGTACATATATAATACATACGGTTTACCAGCGGAATTTTGTGACAAACAACAAAATTTTGTGATGTGACAAACATTCCTAATTTATCTAGCTCAACCTAACCTAATGATATACTGCATACAGTTTAAAACATATAATACATGAAAATCTGTTGTAGTCTATACTGATATACTATATACGTTACACCTTAACTTGAGTAATTCTCCAAATAATATACTATTGCTTGTAACGACACTAGCGTATATTTGTCAAAATATGGATTTTGACATCCATATTTTGTCATTGATTTGTCAAATTTTGACAAATCAATTACATAAAAAATCCACAATTTGTCCTATTGGCAAAATACAGTAATAAGAATGTGTTGACAAAATTAACAAAACTAAACTTAGGTCTAATCTAACTTAGGACTAATATAATCCATACTTATACTATATAAAGCCTAATTAGGGTAGGTTTTTGTATTATTTTATTCGCCGCATTCTCATTATTACTTAGAATATTCCAAATATGATAATTTGTGGTTCAGTAGCAGTGGTATACGTCCTTGGCTCAAAACCGAGCATCCTGAATTCGATCCCAAGCTGGGACAGAGACGATTGGCACGTTTCATTTCACCTGATACCTATGCTTACTTAGCAGTTAATAGGCCCTAAGGCGTTAGGCTACTGTTGAGTGTTTCATCCTGGGGTAGGTTATCAGTAGTGCCTAGGAGGACCTAGGCAACTGCTGTCGGTTTGTATCCCGGGGAGAGCCAGTAGATCAACTATATATATATATCATATTGTAGTTATATGTAGTGTTAACAAGATGATGGATTGTGATCTCTTATTAAAGCACTGCCATATTTTTCCACAGCGACAATGGAGAACAGAAACTGCGGAGAACACGACTCGAGCAATAATCCTCCCGTCGTTATGGATAAGAATGCCCAGGGTTGCGGAGATAGGAACTTACAGAGCGGAGACATAGATAATACATATGTAATACTCTCTTCCTCTGAAATGACGGAGAAAGAATTAAGAGAGGATTCTAAAGAACAGGGCGTGCAGAGTGAAGCCACCGGCGTGTTGGAGGAAGAATTAAGAGAGGATTTCAGGGAACGGAAGGGTGAAGCCACCCAAATTCTAGATAAAGAATTAACAGAGGTTTCCAGGGAACAGAACGTGCATAGTGAAACCATCCAGGCACTAGATGAAAAAATAAAAAAGGATTGCCAGGTTCAAAACTTAACATGTAAACTCGACCATTTGATGAATGAGGGAGATATGGAGTGCAGCAAGCAAAGTGGAAGTAGAATAACTAAAATGTTGGGTGAGAGACAACAGGAGCTCGGTGAACAAAGTGAAATTACCATGTTGGATAAAAGACAAAAAGAGTGCGGGAAGGAGATTGGATTTAGTCATCTATTGAATTATAAACATGAGTCTAGCGATCAGAGTGGAATGACTCAAATGTTAGATATGAAACAACAGGAGGGCAGCAATGAAATTGGATTTTCCCCTCTGTTAACTGAAAGACAACAGGAGAACAACGATCAAAGCTTCCACAGTCGACTTACTCAGATGTTGGATGATATAAATCAGGAATATAGTGAGTTGAACTTTCAGAATAGAATTACTCGGCTAGTGAACGAAGGAAAACAGGAGTATAACGAACAGAACTTGCAGAGTAAACTGAATCAAATGTTACAGGATAAAAGACAGGAATGTAATGAACAGAAGTGGCAGAGTGGTTTGCACTATAAGAGACAGGAGTATAAGGAAGAGAACTGGCACAGTAGACTCAATCAGACATTGCGAGATAAAAGAGAGGAGTGTAGTGAACAGAACTGGCAGGGTAAAGTTAATCAGATGTTGTATGATATTAGACAGGAATGTAACGAACAGACACCGCAGAGTAATCTTACTCAGACGTACGTTAATAAACAGGAGAGAAGCATGCAGAGTGGATTTACTCGCTTGTTCGATAAAATAAACATTGAGAGCAGTAAGCAGAATGACAATACAAGAGATGGGAGCAACGCGCAGAACTTGCTGGGTGGATTTACTGATATGTTGAATGAGCTCAGACAGGAGTTTTGCTATAAGAACCGGCAAAATATACCCACTCGTGTGATTGAGAAAAGGCAAAGTGGCAGAGAGCAGAACTGGCAGAAAGGGCTCGACACTCCTAATGAGCGACTCGGTTGTCTGTTAATGTCTTCACGACATAGTGATCTCAAACTTAACTTCCGAGACAAAAATGCTTTCTTCAAGGTAAGATTAATTCGTATATTTGCTGACGTAAGTCTCCTATTATACCTTACGTTTTTGAAACCATTAAGGCTGATAATTCTAAAAAAATAAAAAAAAATCACGGAGAAAAGGATATTTTACGTATGCAGATTGGTTTGTTCTAGTACAGAAAAATGCAGTCTCTTTGATCAGTATAATTTCTTAATTTCTTAATAGTTCATGGTAGCCTTTACTTGTGTGGGGTTGCTAAGATGTTTGCGAGCAATTATGAACGGGAGAGTTCATGAAGTGTATTTCGTTTTTATTAATGTTTGTATGGATTTTTTTTATAGTCGTTTCAGTATGACATTTGTATGATTGGAAATGTGTGTCAGGATTTGTATATTTTATAATTTGTTTTTAGTGTTTAGTTGTCTCATGTGTATTGTGAGAAAACGTTTGCGTTTGAGGTAGACTACTACGTGAATTTTTTTTTTGTATTTTGCGATATCTTGCATGGGTGTATTACCCATGCATATTTATAAGCATTGAAAATTGAACTTGAGTGATGTAGATAATACTTTGTATGAAATTCACATATATGATATTACCTGAATTCGAATCCTGGCAGAGTGTAATGAGACCTATAAAATATTTAAAATGATTTTTCTCTGACCGCACAGTTTAGACTGTATACAAGTACAGTATAGGTCTAGACTGTATGGTTTTCTATTTGTGAATAGATTATATTTCTTATCTTTTATGATTTTCACCAGGTTCATAAATTAGTTTTGGCCATGACGTCACCGGTGTTTGAGGCCAAACTCTTCTCATCTGATGTGATCATTCAAGAGCTTACTCTTACGGATAACCCGGATGACAGCTTCCGCTGGTTATTACAGTACATGTACACTGGGTGCACCAAGTTGCCCTCTGCAAACATTTGTCTCCAGGTCACCCATCTGGCTGTCAAATACCAAATAGATGCCCTCTTCACTGTTTGTGCCCGTGTAAGTATACTATGCATGTACAGAAAAATATTAGTTCGTCTGCTGTTGGATATAGAGCTTTTAAATAGTGTTTCCCCAGCGTTACGTTGAACATTTCCGTTACATTCGGTATTCGAAAATTTATTTCATCTATTGATCTGGTAGTTCTTCCCTATTTAAAGAGGTAATTTATGTGACACCCCCACATCCATTGCAAGGGACGCATAAAAACTGTTATAAATGCCTAAAATGGAGGCAAGAATCCCCGAGCCTTCCTGTGGCGTTATATAGTGTCATACACAGGTGGAAAATGTTACATGAGGGGTCACTAGCATGGTTATATTTTACAGGTATGGGTAATGCCTGAAGAACTTTGTGGTTGTAAAGTGATGAGTGACATAGATAATTTTCAGTAACAGAAAATTATTATACATTGTTACAACGTTATCTGTTTAAGGCTACATGGATAGGATAAGTTATATTCACAGCCTCTTTATTAGTTGCGTGTTTGAGTAGTTTGCCTACAGTGTAACAGTTTAATGTCTATGGTTAGGTGTGATTTACCATTCTTGGGTAAAGGAAACTTGCTACATTTATCGAGGTCCCGCTACGCCAACAACTGACCTTCCCAAGAATGCAACCCACAATAGTTCTCTAGCTCCAAGGGCTCCTGTGTACTGATAGGTGAACAGAAGCATCAGGTGTAAGGAACCGTGCCAAACGACCCAGTCCTTCCGCGGGGTCGAATTCAGGACCGTTCGGTTGTGAACTGACTTCGCTGATCAGCTGACCCCATCAGCACCCCGATGGCTTGATAATTAACATGCACCAACTCAGTCCAGAGCCTTTGGGGTCTATCACTATATATTTTGCTGATCTTCCACATACAAGAAGCTAACTTTTGTGGCCCCCCTCTTCTCCGCTCAGTGGCAAGATTTCTCTCTCTTCGGATCTACTCCAAGGTTCTCCTTCTTTTGACTCAAATCTAAAAATGTAAACTTCTTTTGACTCAAATCTAAAAATGTAAACAACTGCTTCCACCAGACCGCCTATGACATCAACTATAACTTGGGGGTGCTGCTCTCGCATTTTGACTCGATTTTGGCCACACTTCGCCCCTAAATCACATCGACGATAGCAGCAGCTATTTTACAGATATAGATATATATACAAGTATACACTATTTTTTGTATATATTTACGAGGCATTACTAGTACTGTATACCAAAGTGAAAATAACGTCGTTTCCCTTCCCTGGCAGTACCTGGACAAGGTCCTGTGCAAGGATAACCTACTGGATATCTACAACGCCGCCGTCGCCATAGACAACAAACGCCTTCTTCATGCGTGCAGGATGGTAACTATCTCTTCATGTTATAAATTATAAATAAATGTTCATTCAGGTAAAGTACATACATACAAGAGGTTTTACAAAAATTGATAGATTTATAGATAGAGCTAGTACGTACAATGCCTAAAGCCACTATTACGCAAAGCGTTTCGGGCAGAGAAATGCTAGCATGCTAGTCTCCGTAACCAGCACCTCGGTTGGTTTACTCAGAGTTTGCTCGTCTTGAATGTTATAGCATAGTATGGTGTCATTTGTAAACTACATTTTGAAAGTTATCAAATAACCTCTGGGATGAGTTCAAATGTGTTTACATATATGTAAGACTTTAAGTATAACATGAATAGTTATTAGATAAAAAAATCTAGTTTCAACAAATGAGAAATAATATACACATTGCTTTTGTTGATGATTGCAAGTTAGAACACACACACACACACACACACACATATATATATATATATATATATATATATATATATATATATATATATATATATATATATATATATACTGGTTTGTTATTGATGTTTTTTGAGTGATAAGTCGAGGTTACAGAGATTGGTGACGTATAGCAGGGAGGTGTTGTCGTCCCAGAAGCTTGGTGACCTTAGTCGTGACGCACTCAAACATATGTTGAAGGAAGGAATTATTTCATCCGGCACTGCCATCTTTAGAATTATCCTAAGCTGGTAAGCTACACCCTACTCCTTATGTACTATACAATTGGTGTCAATATATATTTGCTTACTTATTAATATATAGAAACCTTTGCTTTTATTGGATAATGTTCAGTTAGTCTGCTAGGCTGCTATCCACTTTTTTTTTATTTTTCCCATTGTGCACCCCATACCCTTGCATGTAGGCAGCAGTGGAAAAGGTTACAGACGCACATATTGGGCTCAAGAACAACTACAAAATTAATTTATCTTAACAAGTAATTGTCTTGATAAACTAGTTACACAGTTTAATGTACCGTATTTATTATTATTTTAACAATAGGCTAGCGAACGACCACAAGTACAATCTCTAAGATAAGCAATTTACATTGGCGATGAGCTAGTTTCAGAATTTGATTTGCTTATCATGAGTGGTAGGTTATTGTGAACCCCATACATACCATGTCCGTGGTAGTTTGTTGTGCATCCCATAGTTATCATATACGCCAATCAAATTAATCTAAGAATTAGCAATACCCAAATTAGGGACAGAGTAGATGGGAAATTCCTTGGTGTATACACTGATAACAAACTGAATTTCCATTGCCATATACTAAATATAACATAAAAAGTTTCTAAAACAGTAGGCATTCTCTCTAAAGTCAGCTATTATGTACCTCGGCTTGCCTTGGTAACACTATTATCCCAGCCCATCCTCCTGTTATGGTAGTACTTATAGTACAATGAGGACCATAGTATATATATACCGACAACGAAATTAGGAAGTAGAAATCTGAACTATTTAGTTGGACAAACTGGAAAACTATTTTTTTACTTGTTTCTTTGACAAACTAAACTAACCTAACCTCCCTAGGCCTAATACACGATATCTGAGGCCTAATATAGTACATATGTGAGCTATACTAGACCTAGCAATATATTTAAGTTTGTGTTTCAGCTCCATTTATTTTAAAAGAATTCCTTACTAGTCAGTAAGGAATTTCTAACAGCTAAGTACGTACTGTATCACTTCCTGACTATTGACGATCGTCACAATAGGTACTATCTAAACAGGAGGAAGGGATGAGTGACTCATTATCTATATCTAACCTACGGTATTGCCTGGGGGACTTTAAACACAAAAATTACCTTCGACCCCAAATTACTCAACATAAATCAGCAATTTGAACAATAACAAACTTCAGTCCCAGACAGCACTCTGCTCCCTTACTGAAATCTTTGAATATAATTCAATAATAATAATAATTAAAAAAGTTAAATATATTAAGACACTGCACATCCTCTTAAGTGTACTCTGAACTGCAGTGTTAATCCTGACCTAAAGCACTTCCTAGTCTGCTGTAATAGAACCCACGAGCACAATGCCGAAAACAAATATATTTTGTTATATTCCAAGAGTGCGACATGATCAGAGATTAAAGACTGTATTCCTCCAACTAGTTCAGGTCGTGGTAAACAGGAATGAATCTGACTGGAGAAATGTGGTGAGAGGGGTAACACAAGGGTCCATTTTTGGGGCCTATCCTTTTTGTAATATTCATTAATGACATAAATGAGAATATTACAAATTACATCATCAAATTCGCAGATAACACCAAGATTTGTGGTAATGTGGGAAGTGAAAATGATATTGTGACCTTACAAAGAGATCTACATGAACTCCACAAATGGTCAGAAGAACGGCAAATGCTTTTTAATGTCGAAAAATGCAAGACCTTGCTTGTGGGGCATAACAACCCACAACACAATTTCCAAATTAACAACATTACCTTGCACCAAGTTGATGAAGAAAAGGATCTTAGACTCAAAAACCATAATTCAGTGAAAGATGCACAAATGGAACCTACAGTAAATAATGCTAATCAAACCCTAGGAATAATCAAACGTACCTTTGACTTTAATGAAAAGAAGGTAGTTATTTAGTTATCATCTGTATAACTCTGGTGCACCTCCCACTTGTAATATTGTATCCAAGCATAGAGACGTCATCTTCAAAAATATATAGCTGCATTGGAGAACGTTCAACACCTAGCAACAAAAATAATTCTAGAACTAGGTCAACTCTCATACCAGGAACAGTTGAGGGCCACAGGGCTAACAATACTGCAAACCAGACATGAAAGGACGGATCTCATCGAAACTTTTAAAACAGTACTGAACAATTTGGAGGATGTTGATCCAGACCACTTCTTCGAAAGGTAAGAGGTAACGTAAACAAAGAGCAACAGTTCCAAGCTCAACAAGCCACAATGCAGGACGGAAAACAGGAGATGCTTTTTCACCCACAGGGTGATAATCCTTTGAAACCGCTTACCAGCATCAGCCTTAAAGGTCAAAACTCTGTTGAATTTTGAAATCCAGCAAGAAAATATCATCAGGTCAAATGGGAGGACCTTTGACAAGCCGCCGGCTTCTTGTCCTCGCCGAGGCCACTAGGTTGTTAGTGGCCCTCGGGTAAAAGAGAAACTAAGAACTACTTAATTAACTCTGTAACCAACTATTTTCGTCTCTGTTCATCCTACATGTTCAACATGTGTTTGCTGTTATTGTGAACATTAATTAGTAAATTTGCACTGTTACTAAAATCTGCCATGTCTAAATATAAAAACTGATATACCATCTGTTAAATCTTTTCTACAGTTATAGAGTTACTTACTATGCTTATACAAATGCATAAACTGCAGTCTCCAAATTTCACGTAAACAAATTTCAACATTTTCTAAATCTCTTCAACAGTTCAAAAAGTTATCTTATCTCATTTAGTTTTTAAGTATTACCCCTATTTAGCTTATATATTATTCTCCATTTTTTTTACTTTGTGTCCGAAATTCCTGTGAGCGGTAGCACAAAAGGATTGCAGAGGGCACAAAATGTCTTAATTAGACCCTTGTCTAATTAAGACAATTAATTAGAACCTTCACGAAATGTGTGCAAGTTACGTACAAATAATTCCCACGAATCAATGTTAAAGTTTATACATTAAACCGAGTATCAACGCATTGTTTTCCTTTCCTTTCCTTCGATATTATTTATTGCTAACTAAAATTGCCTTAACTAATTCTATAACATGTGCTCATTTCACACTTCCATGACTAACTTGTGCCATTTCGACAGGGGTAAAGCTCAACTATTGAAACAGAAACGGGAACCAACCAAGGTGGCTCTTCGACAAGAGATAAATGATTTCCTTCCTCTAGTGAACTTGTCGACCATGTCTGTCGAAGATATTGCCAATCATATTATTCCCTCTGCAATCTTCACCTCAGAAGAAGCTACAACCTTTCTCATGAGCGTTAAGAAGAGCAAGGCGGTGCAACCTTTCATGGAATGGTGTCGCGAGATATAACTTCAGTATTTCAAGTTATGAGATCAAAGTTCTGAAAAAATAGTTTTAAAGGAGTTGTCCTTGATAACAAAGACTGAAATCAGCTTTAACATTCAGTCAAAACAGTTTATTAAGAAGGTAGTTAAAGTTGAAGCTGAAGGTAGTGGATGCATAGGAGGTATTTCAAGCTAGAGAAAATGTCTAATAAAGGCTTTAAGAAGCGTTTATTATTGGGATCCCAGAAGGAACTGCTACATAACCGTCAGAGACATTTGATTTGATCAAACGGATGAAAAAAGTCACAAAATGTTATTTTTATGTGTTGATTAATAACTGTTGCATTTATTTTCGCTCCAGTTAAGATTTGCAAAACAAAAGAAAAACTGTACTAATAGTTGATTAAGACACTAGTAACCTGAATTACTTTCGTTATTCAGCTATAAAGGAGTATCATTGTTATCTAAGTTTTTTGTGACAAATTCATATCTATTTCACATAATATATTTACATTATTCTGAATGAGGCCATGAACACTTAATGTGCGAACTATTCAAATATCAAGTTCTATGATGTAAATGTTAGATTATATTCTTTATTACTGATAACATACATCAAGTTTGCGTGTTAAGTGTTTGACTTGTGTTTTTCAATTTTAGTTGTTTTGTTTACTTTTATGAAAATTGTGTATTTTCATAAGAACATGAGAATAAAGGAAACTGCAAAAAGAATATACGAAGCTGCTCGTATTTATATCCATCGAAACTCATTCACATACATATATACAGTATATATATGATTATATTTTGGTAGCAGTCTTTTAAACATATTTCGTTAAAAACGACAGAAAGTTTTAGATTTATGATTCTGGCACGAATCTTCTAGATATTCCTTATGTTTTTCTTCACTGAAGCAGGAAGATTAAAAATTAACACTCCAAAGTTGATTTTTACGTATTGTTTGGGTTTGACGCCTAGTGATGCGTTTCGTAAGGTCTCACCTCACATTCCCAAGGACAAATTCTTCTATTGTTGTTGTTATAGATTCAGCTACTCTGAACAAGTTCCAAGTAGCACGGGCTATGGTGAGCCCGTAACTTACCTGGCACAGGAGCGGGGCATATAGCATGGGCTATAGTGAGGCCGTATTGGACTTCTGGCACAGGAGCGGTGCTGAAAAATTCTTCTATGTAGCACCTGATTATATGCTTTAATGGTGAGGTGGTAGGTGACATGGATGAATGACATCCATGGGGTAGTAAATTAAGAGTGCTGACATGTTCTTCTGGTTGCTTCCGTTCTTGTTGCAGGGTCATGGTCTTGAAGTGGGTTGAGTGTAACGTGTGTATTAAAATGGTTATTGATTGCTGGTCTAGATTTCTTGATATGCAGTGCTTCACTTCTATTGTCATTGTATCTATCAATTATTTCAGTGTTGCTCGTCAAAATATCCCTGGTGAACGTCTCGTTGTATGTGGCGATTATATCTTCCTTGATAGAGCCCTGTTTGTGCATTGTTAATCGCCTAGAGCGGGACGTTGTTGTCTTGGCTATATACTGAGTTCGTTATGGTAACCAATTCTGTTTGAAGAGTGGAGGCCCAGTTACTTAGACGCGTCCACACTCATGGGAGAAGGAACCATCTCTCCCTGTCACAACAAATGCACTTCCAGCTGCACCATAGGACTGATGCAAGGATCCATCAGTGTAAATAATCTGGTAAAGGGAGCGCTCTCTAACTAAAGTATCAGTTTGGCTTAAAGCATTGTACTTTGCTTCTTGTCGAAGCAAGGCTTGTTCTTTAATCAGCTTCTTGGGTGGAAAAGGTGGGACAATAATTTGGAAAAGAGTGATCTCCCATGAGGCAGGAAAGTGTTGTTGTTGTCTCTCTAGGTAGGGGTGATGAAAGTTATATATTCTGAGCACATTGGCAGTTACGGCAAACCATTTGGAGGATTCCACCTTATTCATTGTTCTGACTGGTATAAAATCTACAAGGAACTGGAGAGAAGCCTTCAAGTATTAGATACACAAATTGAGAAGTAAACACCCATATCAGAAGATATTTAGAAAAATTGTATAACACGCTTTCCATAAAACTCTATTACAATATGATCTCTTTTTAACGGCAAAATTTAGCCATTTTGTGTAACAACTGCTATGTCTCATACTTTTAATAATCATAGTAAACGAAATATTCATATTTTTTATATACAAGATATGAAACAGCAAGCCATAAGCTAGATCTGTGTGTCGCTCCTGGAGACGTCAGTAAGGAGACGGACTTTTAGCAAATATCTTCCTGTGATTGGCTGTTGCTGGGAATGCCAACACTATTTCTATAAATTAAATGCAAACTAAGAAATACGTCTTTTTGCACAACAATATCTTTATTTCAAACACAACCTCTTCGTTTTGTACCTGGCAGAAATTTACATCTAACTAAATAATCGAGTCCAATAAGAGAAGGGAGCTTTGTATCATCGATATTATTTGCGTGAGGCAACCCCCACTGATGACGTCACAAGTTAGGTAGCCAGCCCATGTTTCTGTAACACTCGTTACGTATTGCAGTATTTAATTATCACATTATTAATGCTTTTAAATACTTAACCCTTCACTTTTTAGGTAGATTAAAGTTGAAGCAGAATATCATAAGCAAGGCTGGTGTGCTGAATAAAGATGATTTATTAAGTGGATGGAGCCTTTAGCTGATCCCTTCCTGTGATTGGCTGTTGTGTGAATGTCAACAAAGAATAGTTTGGAACCTCCTACCCGAGCACAACAACCTGCCTTATGGGTTGCTGTTTGGCTATTTATAGTGCGTTGGAAAAAAAAGAGATGGCGCTAGTTGTATTTTGTGGGGTAATTTGTTATAAGTGTAATTTGATGTCAACAGATGGCGTAAGCTGTATCTTATGGCCACTATTGACCAGCCAGTTGATAGTGTTCTCTTGTGCCGACAGATGGCATCAGCTGTATCATTATTACTTCCGAATTCCCTGTAAACACTGATCGACAAATCCTGTCGCTTATGATAATCTTTTATACTATTCTGGTATTAGGTAACAAGTAATTTTCTTTTATCTACTGTTGAGAATATCATTATATAACGTCTGGTTAGGATGTACTATTCTTTGTTGAGATGGCCGTAATATTATTAAAACAGCAAATGATGCATAAAATAACAGCATTTCACACTAAAAATACTTGGATATATTGAAATTTGATAGTGAATTCCAATCTAGGAATCTCCTATGACGAAACTGTACTGTGTTCGCTTTAGCCGGGTATACTGTATATAATAGTTAATAATAAATCATTGTGTAGGGGGACAGGCAGCCAGTGTATATATACATGTTAGGCTTATACTGGTCCCACAAAGGTAGAACTATGGAGTAAGACTGGGTGCTGCCGGGGCTGAAACTTTATCACCCTTACAAGCACAATTTTTTGTTAAATCTTCACAAGGAAGAACAACTGTAAATATTGGAATAGTTTTGTAACGTACGATTATGTTACGTTGTTAGGTTGATTAGATACACAGTGTTTAGTGAGTTTCATATTTATTTAGTAGTCCTGGATACAGCAATGTCGTAGACGTTGAGACGAAGCCTGGAGCAGAGCTGAGCTGAGTGAGGCCGGAGTCGTGGAGCTCTATGTGGGAGAGCGTTGTCGCTGGATGAGGTCGTAGTCTGTTGCCTGCTCTGTGTCAAGGTAGGTAACCTCAAGGTAAGGTAGGTGTCGAAGCTGTAGCGTCTTGGGTCGATTAGAACTGTCTACACCGAGTACTACATTCTTGACTGGAGATTGTACTGGTTTGCTATTCTCAAATCGCTTGCTTAAATACGGTGACTACACCTCACAGTAAGATATGAGGGTGGAAAAACCGTTACTTGTAAATAGGGATAGGATTATAGCTTGTGTAATTAGTTATGCCTTTAAGATGATGAGATAATGGAGCGTGTATAGGTTTACTCGCTACAGGACTCCCCTGCCAGGGAATGAATGAAAAGCAATACAACACAAAATACGAGGCTACTGTTCCCTGGGTCGCTGTGGAACATGTAGTCTGGTACCAAAAGATGCAGGCAGTGTGTGGACAAGCTCGATGTAGCAGGAGAGAAGAATGCGCATGATTGTTGCGTCCTTGGGTCGCTGGTGGAGCATTTAGATCCGGGGCGGATGGGCTTGGGCACCAGGACAATATAGGAGGTAATGTAGGCACGTAGTTAGGACCACGAGGGAATCACTGCAAGAGCTAAATTGTCTTGGAGGCGATGAAGAGTCGGCACCGCAAGCTGTAAGTCCTGTACTGCGCAAGGTGCTTGAGTCGGCAGAGTATCAGAATGTAGTGAACGTGTAGATGAATCTGACGAAAGAGCAGCTGTCGTGGGAGTCCCTGTAGAACAAGCAGTGCCCTGGCAGCGACGGAGAGTCGGCAGGACAGGCTGTAGATCCCATATGATGTAGTTGCTGATGAAACTGTCAGATGAGTAAGTAACCCTCGCTGTGCAGGAAGCTGTAGTTGATGAAAAGGCAGAGACGATCGCGATGAAAATCATAGCTGTGGCGAGGGTGTTGACAGCGTTCCGTGACAGGTGGTAGCGGTCCACAGCAAGCAACAGCAGGGGTAAAGGCACTGAGAATCCATGTTGTAGTCCATCGTGGCTGGGTATCGACGAAACTCTCTGGAGTCACCAATGTAACGTACGTTTATGTTACGTTGTTGGGTTGATTAGATACACAGTGTTTAGTGAGTTTCATATTTATTTAGTAGTCCTGGATACAGCAGTGTCGTAGACGTTGAGACGAAGCTTGGAGCAGAGCAGAGAGCTGAGTGAGGCCGGAGTCGTGGAGCTCTATGTGGGAGAGCGTTGTAGCTGGATGAGGTCGTAGTCTGCTGTCTGCTCTATGTCGAAGCTGTAGCGTCTTGGGTCGATTAGAACTGCCTACACCGAGTACTACATTCTTGACTGGAGATTGTACTGGTTTGCTATTCGATTGATTGATTGATGAAGATTAAGCCACCCAAGAGGTGGCACGGGCATGAATAGCCCGTAAGTGGTGGCCCTTTCGAGCCATTACCAGTATCAAAAGATGATACTGGAGATCTGTGGATATGAGGGTGGAAAAACCTTTATAAGATATGAGGGTGGAAAAACCGTTACTTGTAAATAGGGATAGGATTATAGCTTAGTTATGCCATTAAGATAATGAGATAATGTAGCGAGTATAAGGATTACTCGCTACAACACCATCAATAGTGTCCAAGAAATGTGTAAGTACTTCATTCATAATGACGTGCTGCCTGAAATCTTAGCGAAGTATCCAAAATTTGTTTACTGTAAGTAATGCATGCACATGACTGTGAACTTCAACAAGATCTTGTAGATCTGAGGCAAAGTCAAATTGACACCAGTAATTCCATTTATCATCGTACTATCATGCAAGAGGAGCCACACATCTATGGATCATCCAATAAAATCAGCAGACTTCTAGATGTTACTACTGCTCGGCGTAGACTCCATTACAAGTATCTCTGGGAATTCTCATTATCTGCTGATGTAGACCTGACCAAATGTAAACTGTGTCAACAAAATTATTCGCACACCCTCCGTCACTATGTGATGGAGTGCGAAAAGATACGTGAATTTAGAGACAATGCTATAACCAATGTTCCAGCGATGTGTAAATATTTCATTCAAAATGATCTGCTACCAGAAATTTTAGCCAAATATCCCCAGTTTGCTAACTGTAGGTAGTAACTGAGTAATTGTAACCTATCCACCGCTGCCCACTGGATGGGGGGCGGTGTGCAGGACAAACATAAATTGTGACACTAGCTCTCCACATATGGCAGTTGCTTAATTTAGAACCTGTACTTGAGGTCAATCTCGAACCTATTGTTGATGTGACGACTTATATTGAATTTTGTAACTAGCTCATCAAGATTGTAACTTGCTTAGCTAAATGAATTGTGGGGTTCAGTCCCTGAGCCCATTTTGCGCCTCTGTAACCCTTTCCACTACCGCCCACGGGATGGGTATGGGGTGCATAATAAATGAACTAAACTAACATGACTGTTAAGCTGCCGCCCAGTTGGGTGGGTGTGCAGCAAGACTAGTAACTGTGTGACGCACTATAGATGTAAAGTGCCTTGTATTGTGACTGTTGTGAGCCTCTTGTTGATCACTTGTGACACAAAGATTATTGATGTGTGTATTTGTGTGGGTGATTAGATATATATGTGTATGTATATGTGTATACGTATACAGTATATATATGTACATGTATGTATGAGTGTGTACATGTGTATACAACATTAATAATTTTGTAACTATACAAAATTGTTAATTGCCTAGCTAAACGAACTAGATGGTTCAGTTCCTGAACCGATTATGTGCCTCTGTAATCCTTTACATCACCGCCCACGGGATGGGTATGGGGTGCATAATAAAGAAAGAAATTGAATACCGCCCACAAGATGGGTATGGGGTGCATAATAAATGAACTAAAAAAAAACTGTGAAAGATTACGGGCATAAATCATATCTTCATCTATTTTATTGGATATAAGATATAAGATAATTCGTATCAGCAATTCATTAAACATGAAAAACGGCTAAATTATGACATGCATTTTATAATGTATTGTTTTAGATTAATATACATTTTGCAAGTGTTATAAAGCTTGCGTGATGAGTAATGGAGCAGACAATGTTTACATCATGTGAGGGAGGCCAGATGGCAGCCGGGCCACGCTTCTAGTGCATATATCTTCACTCTCTCCATCATCCAGTGTGGACTCTCTGAACTATGTGTGCGAGGAACATTGAGCACCAGGTAAAGTATCACCTTAAGGCTGTACAAAGAAAATATTGTGGAATAGGGGTTAAGTGAAGTTTGGTTGGCACATTTGGGCGGAAGCAGGACTTTAAGATAATGCTGGAAATGAACTCAATTAATACGCGTAGCTAGTTTAACTGAGCTCTTATGCCTCCTGTGACCGGCTGGTCAGTGATGGGAATGGTTACATAAGCACGTGATTGGCTTATGAACTGAATTCAAATATTCTTTTAGCTAAAAGCAACTTATATCATTGATAATCTAGTTAAGAGTTTAAAAAAACATTATCAGTCTATTTAGTTTTATTAAGACATAGTTAAATTACTTTAATAAAGCCCATATCCATTATTCAAGAACCAGTAGTGTCCAGGAAGGTTTGGATGCAACCAAAGATCATTAGAAATATCACAAACTTCACACAGATTATACAGGTAATAACCTCATTAACCAGGGGACTAGTGTATGACGGTACTCACACTTTTAAGGTTAATATTGTGTCCTTGGGGTTGGCAAATTTCTTATACCTTGATATCTATTCATGAGTAGTTTGATATAGCATGGGAAGCAACTGCACAACATTCAGTGCCTATACAGATTACTGTGATAGTGTAAGAGTTTGCTAATCCAGACCTTTGGGTAATCGAGACAAAATCGAATCAGAGTTTTGTCTGCCAACTTTTGCCAAGCTCAGACAAAAATCCGGATTAAGGAGAGTTTTGGCCACATTACTGAATGACATTGGGAGCTCTGCTTGATGATGCTCACCAGAACCCTTAGTAGCTGGCAGTCAAAACTGGCCTTATCAATCTACTCAAACTATGTGAATTTATTTTTATTGTGTGTGAAAATATGAATTATGTTTGTGGTACAAAAAATTTATGTTCATTGTTTAACCTCCCAGCAAAAATTCCTGCTAATCCAGATGTCCGGCTAACTAAGAAAGGGATGGGCCTCGTGTGATCTGGATTAGCAAGCGTTATCAACATTTCTGTGTTGCAATCTGAACAAAAAAAGTACAGTATAGTACAGTATATTCAAATACAGGTATTCTTATTGGTTGTAATGGTATTTTATAATTATATTCTGTCTGGAACACTTATGGCCTGGTACTGAGCTACTTGGACCTTGTGTATTGCTATAAATAACAATAATTTAAAATAATTTTTTTAGCCTTGCATTGTATATACCCAAGAAAAGAATGGGATGGAAACAAAAGTGCTTCAGCAAAATATGTAAAAGGAGGTAATATAACACCCTAGTATCAAGTCTGATTTCTTGTATTGAATTGGATTGATTGTAACTTTAGCTATTGACATTTTTTATTAATAGCTATAGATATAGTATATCAAGACTTAAGAGTGGTGTCATTTTAAAGATAAATTTATCTTAATTTTTACTATAGGTTTCACAAGTTACTCAATGGCGAGTCGTCGCCGAGCGAAAGTGTTAACCTATTTTCTATTCCATTTTTTTTAGGCTTAGTTGCCGAAGGTTGGTGACACTACATGAACTCACTTTGTTGTCATAACTGATATCACATCATTATTGTCATTATTGTAGTTCTGTATTTTTTGTTTTTTAAACTTTCCACAATTTTGTTGAATGCATTATATGGAATCATTTTACATTTATTACAGTGAAAATAAATAAAAAGCTTTAAATTAGCTTATCTATCTTTTTTAATGTAACAAATCAGACAGTTTCAGACTAATCACAGAAATAGGGTCATGATGGTATGTGATAGTACTAAACTGGGTTGTAGGAAAAATGTTTGAAGAACTCTGATGCATCTTAAATCTTTCCAGATGTAACTGAGAATGCTGTACTTTTGCCCCACTTGTGCAAATCTGTTGATTGTGGAGGAGGGGTCACTGGTAAGATACATAACATTTAATAGCTTTTTTTTTATGTTCATTATTTCCTTATTAAGTTTAACCACACTCTCTGGTCAGAGCAGCGTAGGCTTCACTTCCTGCAGGTTGGCATTCAATTCCTAAAGTCCCATGTACAGTAGTTGGATACCATTTCTTCCGTCTGTCTTATCCCAGTTCTTATATCCCTTCCTAGTGCTATACTATCGTACTGGCTTAGCACTTTTTCCCCATAATTACTGTACCTTGCCAGGATGGATCTGTTTGCACCATTTATATTTTTGTTTAGTGCATTTAGGAACTAGGTAATTGTACTGTACTTAAACATTTAGATTTATTTGCAAAAAATATAATGATGAAAATACAGTACAGAACTGTACAGTACTAATGGAAATAATTTTTTCCATATCAAGCTTTTATTACCAGCTTCAAAACAAATAATAATAATTATTATTTTTTTTTTTTTTGCAGGGTATGCGTTTTTCTTGCGTGACCTGTCCATATGTTTTTCCAATAAAGAGATGCGTGTCATACAAGATTTACCCCAAACTGAAGGCACTTGATGATGTTCTAGGAGGATCAGCTGCTTGGAAGAATGTTGACTCTACAGATGAACCATGTCCTAAGTGTTCTCACCCTAGAGCCTACTTTATGCAAGTGCAGACTAGGTCAGCTGATGAACCTATGACTCTGTTCTACAAGTGCTGTTCACCAACTTGTGGTCATCGCTGGAAGGAATAATATAAAACATTGGAATTTTTTGATTGGGCTTTTTTTTTTTTTAATTTCATCGGCAAGAAACATTGGATTATTAATTTTGAGTATCAGCTGACTTATGTGTTGTGCCTCATTTCTTAACGTGGCAAAACTAATGAGCACTCGAGCAGCAGAGGCTGCAACCAATGGTTTTCCAATGAGCAATGTAATTCGTTTATGTGAAGGACCTGCCTTAACCTCTCAGGCTGAGAAAGCTTCAGCTGCATTGCTCTCTGGCCATGTAATTTCAGTGCCAACTGATACACTTTATGGAATTGCTGCATTAGCTCAAAACAATACAGCTGTTGAAAGAATTTATGAAATTAAAAGGCGCAGTTCAACCAAACCATTAGCAATTTGCGTATCAGAAGTGAAAGATGTTTATTTATGGGGTAAAGTAACTGTACCACATTCATTACTTACTTCTTTACTGCCAGGTCCTGTTACACTGATATTTCAGCGCACACAGCAGCTTAATCTGGCATTAAATCCTGGCACTGATTTAGTTGGAATTCGCATTCCAGATGAGGAATTTATAAGAGCTGTAGTCAGATGCTGTAGTTCTCCATTAGCTTTAACGAGTGCAAACATCAGTTCGAAAGTAAGCCCCTTGTGTGTTGAAGAATTCCGTGAACTTTGGAGTAAGCTTCATACTGTTTTTGATGGTGGTCATCTTGGGGAGCACTTGGAGAGTAGGGAAGGATCGACAATCATTGATCTGTCACAACCAGGGTCATATAGACTTATCCGAAGAGGAATAGCTTATGAACAAACAACTGAGATTCTCCAGCGTTATGACCTTACTTTAATTGATTAAAATTTGCAAGAAGATATTGAAGCATTCACTCAATTAAGACATTGTGACATACTGTATATATGAAGGTGTAATTGAAAATTTCTGTCAATCTACTAAAAGAAAATTAAATAGCAAAATGTTCAACCAGCATTTTAAACGTGAACGAAGGGAAGCAGCCATCAGCACTTCCCTGGTTACTAAACTGAAGGAGGCAGTGCAAAGTGTCTTACAGCCTGGGGGTAGTTATGGTGTGCAAAATTATAGTACTGGATCTCTTGGACCAATTATTGGTCATTCAGACAATACAAATGCCCTATGCAATGTGTTGGAAGCAATACTTATTCATGGATTGCGTGATTCCCTGGGTGAACGAATGTCTACATTTCTGGGATCTGATCCGGACCGGATGCCTGTTCCAAATTTTTGGCCCATTATACTGATCATTAGCCATAGAGACTTAATTGAGCAGGTGAGTACTTGCAGACCATATATGTTTATATTGTATGTTAAAAATGCATTGCATTCTTTTAATTTTTTTAGGATAAAGCAGTGAATAAATGTAAAGTAAATATATCTCTACTGAATTTTTGCTCGTTCTGTACTTTTATTTTTCATTTGGTTCTTGGTACCAATAATAAAAACTTTTAAATGTAAAGTTTTCAAAAGTTCTAGGAGCTTTTTGTGTTTTTTGCACGTAGCCAGTTGAAGGGGGGGGGGGATTGTTTGGTACGTGGACTTAGACTTAATGTTGCTGACACACTTAAGTAAAGGAGAGAGCTATGAGAATATTGTTAAAGGATTTGTGTGTGCTGTTTCATTTGCTCACACAGTGTGTATGGAATAAGTTGATTTATTTTCACATAATTGATGAAAACTGACCGAGAACTGTATGCAGTCCTACCATGTAATATTTACAGCTATTGCATATAAATCTGTTCCTGGTACAGCTCAAAGGAAGTATCTTGCAATGTCATCTAGAAATAGATTTAAACACCAGCAGGAAATATCAAATTGTAATTTAACAATAACCGCAAGCCACTGGTACTCTACGCGATAACCTCATTGCATTGTAATCAATTAAAAACAATAGCATATTTTTTTCAATGGACAAGGGTTAAGTTGACGAAACCACACACTAGAAAGTAAAGGGACGACGACCTTTCGGTCCGTCCTGGACCATTCTCAAGTTGATTGTGATCAACTTGAGAATGGTCTGGGATGGACCGAAATGTCGTCATCCCTTCACTTTCTAGTGTGTGGTTTGGTCAACATATTTCAGCCACGTTATTGTAACTCCTCATCGACAAGGGTTAACTTCATTGCATCCATATAGATGTACTTTAACCATATTTACATCATTTATATAAAAATTAGGAGATGATGATAAAATCAGAGAATGATGCAGTACCCTGGGTATCAACATATGATAATTGCATTTTGAAGGTTTAAGATTAACCATATAGAGATCCACTGCTCATCATTTTCTAAAATATAAATAAACACCCTAATTAACTAGTTGGTAATTATCACTTGGTTTCCATATCACACCCAGATTCAGTTTGGCTTAAAACACAAGCTCCAATTCTGAGGGATGTAACCCAATGCATAAAAACTGTAAAGTTGTTGATAAACCTTGTCCCATAAGATCCTTAACTAAATACTACACTGGTGTGACAAGATGCCTTATGCCCCTACGTAAAATTTGGAATCTACTGTATTTATACGAGCAACATTGTCACTAGGTGGCCGAGCAACATTGTCACTAGGTGGCCTGCCTATATTCAACATTTCCAGAGTACACATTCACTAAATAATGATTTAATATTCTTTGTATTCTAGATTTCCTAATTTGTTTTTTTTTGTTCATACGTTTTTGTTTTTCAACAAATGATTTCAGTGCAGCTTCAAGTATTTTAACATTTTCAGTACCTGAAATATTTGAAGAGTCTTTCCCCTAATGGATGGGACATCCCCAGATGGAATAAATCATCAAAGGTACAAGACATATGATTAGAGTACTGTAATTGGGTCTTCACAATCCTGTAAGGGATATCTCCTGTCCATCTGTCTTTGCAACCTTGTTTCGTCTAGGAGTTCCCCATTCATTTAAAAAAAAAATAATATATGAAAATCTCTGTAAAAGTACAGTACAGGCAAAACACAATAGAGATATTCCAAGAAGTGTAGATACCAGTATAGTAGATGACTTTTCTTAACATTGCCAATCAAATATTTACTCATGTGTAATAGATCAAATTCTGTAGATTCATAGATATACATATAGGTTATTTAATGCTACATGTAATTATTGTTCTATGGCTTGTATTTCTGGATGTACCTCTGGTAAAAAGGTGAGCGGGCTATCGTTCATCAGTAGTGAAGTGGGAAGAAGTCGAGCATGGGTACGTCTGGCTATAAATCAAGGTCAAATCTGTAGCTACATCAGCGTGCTTCTTCATGATGCTCATACTCTCAAGGACTATTACAGGTGAGGTAGAGGCAGGACACAAGTGGATGCACTGCACTTTTAAAATCAGTGTTCACTTTCATTTTTTAAAAGAACAGTGTGCATATAGTTTTGTTGTAATTATTTTGTATCATATTTTCACTGAATTTCATATGTGTGATGAAATGGATTGGTTTACTCTGAGCTATTTTGCATCTTTTGTCAAGTGTTTAGTTTAGTCAGTAATAGGGGCCTGACAGCTGAGTGGACAGCGCTCAGGATTCGTACTCCTGAGGTTCCGGGTTCGATTCCCGGTGGAGGGCAGAAATAATTGGGCAGAGTTTCTTTCACTCTGATGCACCTGTTCACCTAGCAGTAAATAGGTACTTAGGAGTTAGACAGCTGTTACAGGCTGCTTCCTCGGGGATGTGTAACAAAAAGGAGGCCTGGTCGAGGACCGGGCCTCGGGGACGCTAAGCCCCGAAAATCATTTCAAGATAGAGAAAGTGCATCTAATATATTTTCAGTGTAAAATAGTGTATTTTTAAATTATTATTTAATCAGGCCAACAATTAAATATCCTGTATGTTGTGTGTTTTATAAACTTAATAAAATTACTAGATAAAGCTTCATTAGTACAAATATATTTTAGTAAGGCAAAATTAATTCACTATCCACTGTTCAAGGTTTGTCCACCATGGATTGGGCTTCTTTGATTTGCAGTGGTGTTAATGGCGAGTGATTCTTGGTTGGTGATGGGCATTGCAATCTTCAGGGGGTGAAGGTGTAGGAAATTTTGGCTGGTGAAAGGCTGCACAGCCTTGTAGTAGGAAGCTTACTTCAATTCCATTGCTGGTGTTTTGTCTCTTGTTGGATCTTCTCTGGCTGCTTCTGAGTCTTCTACCATTCCTTCCCTGCATCCCATCCCAAATCCTTATCCCTTCCAAGTGCTATATAGTCATAATGGCTTGACACTTTCTCCTAATAGTTCCCTTCCTCTTTTGTGTCTTCTTCTGGGCTTTGCATCTCCATGTTCCTTGTGTCATTGCTTGGATGCTTCTCACAGTAATTGGGGTCAATGATGTTCGGATGAACCATGTTGATGTTGCCACAGTGAGACAGTGTCACTTAATATGGTTCCAATCATATTTTTGATGATTTTTGTAGATGGACTTATATTACAAGAAACAGTTGCAGCCTTGGGACAGCTATTGGGAATATTTAAAACCAAATTCTATAGTTTTTTTCATTTTAAGTTGGCAAGGCTTTTGTTCACTCGGTTGGCCCTGCTGCCTTTTGAAAATGCCTTTTAAAAAAATATTGAGAATATTTAAAACCAAATTCTATAGTTTTTCATTTTGAGTAGGCAAGGTTTTTGTTCACAGCATGTTGGCTTTGCTGTCCTCAGCCTCAAATGAGTTTTGAGGCTGAGGACATGAGATATGAACTAGATGTAGTTAATTATTTTTGCAGACGTGTTCATTTGGTGGTTGTCTATTATAGGTTGAAATTAGAATTTTGCTAAGTGAAGTTAGGCCATAGGGCATTGGAAATGTATCCTGGAGGCAACTCCGTTTGCAATTAATCCGTCACTGCAGTGAAGTGAATTTGGTACCATACAGTTCAATAAATCGATGTTGTACTGTACAGTGCTTCAAAATCTTGTGCACTTGAATAGAATTCTGTGCCTGTTTAGAGACAGGGTTGTTTCACATCATTCAGGCTGATATCACACTAACATCATGCATTTGTATAAAGCTGATACACAGTAATTACATTATTACTACTACTTATACATAATATATTGTAGTAATATGGCTATACTCATCTTGGCATTTAGGGAGTTATTATTACCAAGAGTAATAAATCATCTGTGGCTGTGCATAATCTTTCTCGCCTCAAAATGTGAATTGCTCAGAAATATTACTTTGAATCGCCATGAAAAGCACCTTTGAGTACAAGCCGTTCAGTGGGCCACAGTTCCCTACCTCCTTTTATCTTATAGTCAGAAAGCATGTAAGCTTTGTGGGGTTTAGGGACCATGTACTTGGGGAAACACTGCAATTTAAAAAAAATTCTTGAATATCTGAAATAGCTTGCACATATTCGGAGCAAGCAAATATTGCCTTCAATTAATCTCTATTTATGGATAATAAGTTTACTGGATAACCCAGTTTTGTGTTACTGAGACTGCACTGTGTTTCCAATTCTGCCATCACCCATCAGTGCAACTTGTGCTATATATTGCAGAACAACAGCCTTTTTGCGTGATCAAGAACGCTCAGACATCATGTTGAGAGTTCTTCAGCCTGTATCTTCATTGACTTTCAATTTGGCAACCAATGCTGCTGTGCTCAACACTTGGACACAGACACCGTTGGTACTAGCTGGACTCTGGGCACCAAGCGTGCAGGTGAGCAGTGGCCACTAAGTCCATCCCTTTCCTCATTAATTATTTTACTATTTATATATATATATTAGCTCATTTCTCGTGTGATATTTTTTCCCTCAAAATGTGAACATAATTCATTCATTATCTTAAGTTATGCCTGAAATGCTGCATGTAATTAGTTGCTTTATAAAATATACCAATACTGCACCTAGTTTAGTTACATAATTCGGTTATAATTTTACTCTAATTTAAATTGTACTGTACCCTTAAATGACAGTTGAGAGTTTAGATTACTGCTGAAAAGGCTTATAAACCTTCTTTGCTGATTTCAGCATATGTGAATCATAGTTTCAGTATGATAAATTCTGTATTTGTATCATTTTTCTTTTCTAGGCTGTAGTGTCAGACCCTGTTTTGGCAGCAACAGACGTAGCCAGCACAGTTTATGATGAACAGTCTGCACATGTGAATACTAACATTATTGGAACACCAATAAGTGATCAGATGTTTGATATGATCATTGGAGGAACACCAGAAACAAGTTTTATAAATGATTATATGGAAAATCACAAAACAATGGGATTGGAAGAACCTGAAGATGTTCCCACTCCCTGTGAAATTAATTCTAATAATATAGAGGTGTTCGAAACAAATGATAAGGCTAAGTTAATGGCACCAAGTGAAGACGAATCTAAATTAAATGATCATAGAAATTCAGAAAGCATCTTGAGTGTTGAAAGTTTAATAGATCAGAAAAATCAATTTGAAAATTCTGTTTCTAGTACATTAAGTAACAGAATATATATGAGAGAATGGAGTGATGATTCCTTCTCTCACAGTATAAATGAAGGAGCACCGGAGTATGATAGACTTTTTTCAGACTTTGGTTCAGTTACCCCATTTGCTCTGGTGCCAGAATTACCAAGACCTGTAGTAGATCCTTTGTCACCATCTACTTCAACTCCAAGTGTTGAAATATCGAATGAGGTAAGTCTCATTTTAAGTGAGATTAATAATGAGTGAATGTTAATTTTAGTATTACGAGAAAACATATAGTACTGTACATTAAAATTTGGTAGCATTCACAAGCCTAGAGTACACTGTATTTGTCTGCTTAAAGTTTAATCAGATTTGACTACTATAGTTGATTCTGAGAGAACATGAAGAAAATACTTTAACTGAAGTAGTGTGTTAATTGTATATTGCATATTAATAGTGATAACCTATGCTGTATTTTAATAAGGTAATGTGATACAAGATGATTTTGGATTTGTATGCCAAGTGTAGTGATGGAGAAGATAGGGTAAAGAAAATTTTTGGAAAATTAGTTTTTTAGTGGATGTTTTGGCCATTAATAAGTGTCTCACTGACGAGACTGTCACCAGATAATGAAAAAAAATGCATAGGTAGAAAACTCAAAACTGGCCATAGGTACACAAGTAAACCAAAAGAGAGCATATTATGAAACCTAACTAATAGAAGACATGGCAAACCCATCAGGAGTTCCAGGAGAGAACATTTTTGGCAATAAAATAACAATATTGAGCTTAACATATTCCAGCTTGTAACATGGGAACAGCCTTATGTACACACTAGTACTTACCTACTAGGTGATTACATTAGTTAGACATAGTGAAACTGTGGTATAGAACTTGAGATATGGGTGAGAGAGAGGGAGGGAACAGTGCTCTTGTAAGAATAATGAGGTAAAAGAGCTGGTTGAGGAGAAAAAATGATCAGGAAGGAATTGTTGAATGAATAGTGAAGAATGTGCAGCTTTGATTTAAAATAAGTGATCAAAGCTGTGGATGGAATTGCCTTCCACAACCTATCTAATCTTCCTTTGTGTGTTGGGCTTGGTGGTACCAGAGTTAAACTTGTGAAGATGCTGGTAGCTAACCAGAAAAAGGCATTTCTATAGTTACACTGGACTGCACTGGGCTATTCTTAATTGCCTTCCTACCACCAGTATGACCTCCATTGGGATGCTTGAAAAGGTTCCTGCTGCACCCATGCAGAGTATCAACTGATATTCTGTCATGACTATCATGATTTTGTCCAATGTGATCTTGCCTTGGAAAGCATCCGAGTGGAATAGCTCAGAATATAGTGTTCTCAGTTAGGGAACAGATCTGAGTTACATACTGTATTTTACCATTTTCCATATATCAAATCCAAAGAGTGCATATCACATTATCAATTTTTTTTCCAGTCATCACTCTCTGATATTGCTGAAAAGCTGAACTATGAAATTCTGCCACAACAGCTACCCAGTCAAAAGGTATGGATTTAAGTTTTAGAAATATAATTTGTATATGATTAAGAATTATATGTATATTTTAATATACATTAACTCTTTTTAAGTTCTTATTTTACTTAAATGCAGAATTTACTGTTATTGGAAACTATTGGGAGAAAAGGATTATCTTAGTCTCCTTTTTTACTATTGTATGGTACTAGTACTGTATATAACAACATAAGAATAAAGAAAATTGCAAAATGTCTATTGGCCCATATGAGGCAGCTCCTATTTCTGTCATCCCAACTTTGGTCATCATAAGCTTTGTGAGACCAAAGTTGGAATATGCAGTGGTTGTTTGGCACCCATATCTCAAAAAGCACGTCACTAAACTAGAAAAGGAGCAAAACATGCAACTAAATGGCTTTCAGAACTGAACAAAAAAGTGCTATAAGGAGAGGGTTAGAGGTGTTAAATTTACCAAAGCAGAAAATAAAGAGGTGATATGATCACTTATGTACAAAATAGTAACAGGAATTGACAAAATTGACTTAAGAATAGTTTTGAAAAGAATTTAAACTTTAATTTCTGCAACTAAGTGAATTTAATAACTGCAACAAGAGGACATAGATTCAAACTAAGGAAATAAGTCTGCCAAAAAAACATTAGAAAGTTCACTTTTGCAAATAGTGGTAGACGATTATGCCAAATTATGTGAGACGGTAGTGGAGGTCAAAACCGTCATCATTATACGACGAAGAGTGCTGGGAAGATGGGACACTACTAGTGACACCCACCCATTGGTGCGTGTCAATTTGAATCTTTTACTTATTTTTCTTATTGTTTATGTTTTTAATAATGACTGTGTAGCTCTCATCTTGTAACTACACTTAGGAAATTAAACGCACCCACTCACATGTAATCTATCTTAACTGTAAAATCTGAATTTCAGGAAACCATTCGCCTCTTACCTCTACTGACACGTCTGACGAGTGAGGAAGGTCTGGACTCCCAGCAGTACCAGTGCCACAAGTGTAAATCATATATTGGAATGATTTATGGTAAACCGAGGTATTATTCATAGAACATATTCCTTTTCTGTATTGCAATTTGTATTTTTCTTGTATAGGTGCTCTGTTTAAATTGGGACCATCAGCTACTGAACTGTCTTAAGAGAATTTAATACATTTCCTGACAGGGGGGGGGCCCCCCCTCACAAGCTCCCCAGAGCTTCTTACACACTGGTATAGCCAAGTCTTGGAATTGCACCAGGCCTTTGAGATCCACTTTGACCTACAGGAGCCAGGACTGAAATTGGGCTCTCTTTATAAGGTAAAGGGAGCTTGGATGGAAGAGATCTAACCAAAACTAAATAAAAAACCCACCAGATTGGTTAGGGAAACAAAACAAGCAACTGCTTAAAAGTGAACCCCTGAAGCAAACAAGGTAAATGATGGGGGACTGTGTGAACTTTGTAGCTTATATGTGGCTGGGTCAACCTGGTTCTCAGTCTTGCCTTTCTCACCCAGTTGATCTAGGGCAGTACAGTATTATAACAACTTGCCCAAGGTCTCTACCAGTCTTTGTGTATAGATTTTCAAGAGTGGATCTCTTGAAGTGCCATATATGTGGGGTTCAGATAGTATTGATCATTATCCAACATCCTCGCTGACAGCGTAAGATAGCCTAGTGGGTATTTCAGGTATTTTTGGCCTTTTGCCAACCTTTGTCTTGATCTCCACCATTCTTTACGAGACATTCCAAGCCAAGTAATCACTAAAAAAGTGGACTTTTCAACTCGACCACCTCAGATTTGTGTGAAATTTGGTAAGATGGTAGAGGACGTGAAGTAATTAATTTAATTCATTGTGTCTGGAGATAGGCAGCCAGAGTGTATTTATACATATTGGGCCTATATCAATTTCCCCCCCCCCCCCCCTTCCCCAAGGTTGAATTACAGATTCCCCCCCTCCAGGATTGCATTCGTAAAATTCTCAGACACGATTTGAGTAAACAAGTGAGGTAGCTACAATACCTATTCAACCAACCAAGGTTTCTGTTTGCAGGATATCATAGTTTAAAATTTCAACAATAAGCAATAGGAGAACATAAAACAATGAATGATTAAAAGAAACAATGAGTTAGAGGCAGAGTAACCTAAGAAGAAAATAAGAGATAAAATATGATGGATAAACAGGAGACAGGAGATAATTATAGGAAGTAAAGAAGGAATGGAATGTGGTGAAGAGTTAGCGAGAACAAAGGAAGTTAACCAGGCAACATGGGACCTTATATTGCAAATTGAGATCGGGATGAGAGGTGAGGAAAGCAAATGAAAGCACTGTGTAGGAAATAAACACGTGACAAAAGTAAAAAAAAGAGACAAATAAAGAGGTAGAGAGATAGTTGAACCAAATGCAGAAGAGGAGGTGAGGAGGAGGACGTAGGTGGAGGTAGAAAAACTTAATTTCTAACTACAGTACTACTGTAGATGGCTTGATGGTGTGAGTTTGTGCTGGTTGTCTGTAATGTTTTGTGTGGAAAGTAAACAGATGGGTGTCAGTTTGATTCTTTACTTACTTTTCATATATTGCTTACGTTTTTTAATAAGTTTTTATTGTATTGCAGAGTGTGCAATTATGACTCAAGATATTACTGCTATGAGTGCCATGAGGATGAGGCTGCTCTGATCCCTGCTCGCATTGTGCATAATTGGGATTTTAGTGTACATCCCGTGTGCACTGCCAATGCCCACTGGTTATCTGCCATTCACCATCAACCACTTATTGACCTTCGGACAGTCAACCCTAAGCTCTATTGCCATGTGGATGATTTAGCTGAAATGCAGGTGTGATAACTTTTAAACTTGTCATGTCAATATTCATACTATATTGAATTTTAACTCATAAAGTGTGTTTATTATTATATGCTAATCCTTAAGTTAATCCAGTTATCCTATGTTAATCCTTGGGTTAATGCAGTTATCATGGGGGTGTCCACTCAGCCCTGACAGCTGAGTGGACAGCGCTCGGGATTCGTAGTTCTGAGGTTCCGGATTTGATCCCCAGTGAAGACGGAGACAAATGGGCAGAGTTTCTTTCACGCTGATGCACCTGTTCACCTAGCAGTAAATAGGTACCTGGGAGCTAGACAGTTGCTACAGGCTGCTTCGTGGGGGGGGGGGTGTAACAAAAAGGAGGCCTGGTCGAGGACCGGGCTGTGCGGACGCTAAGCCCTGAAATCATCTCGAGATAACCTCAAGATAGGAATCATTTGTTAATCCTTGGATTAATGAATTTATCATATGTTGATTTCAGCTATTATCATCAGGTTTTTATACAAACAATGTAAATATGGTTCTAATACATCCATGTGGACAAAATGGAGTTAAATAACTACATAATAGTTTACACTTGTGTGTTGCTAACACAGCTTTATTCCAACACCCAGCCTTGGCAGCAGTTTAGGCAAACAGTTCTACCTAATTGAACATTTGTACGTTTCACTGAACAATTTGCACTGGACTTGGTATATTAAAGCTTTGGGCACATGGCTTCCGGAGGCTGTACTTTACTACTATTGTACTGTACTGTACAATTATAATATTTCTGAAAGAAGGGAGAGAGGGGGAAGGGTGAGAGTAGGTCAAAGGGAGCAACGAAGCTGGGGATGAGGGTGATCAAAGGGGAGATGGGCTGAAGAGTGGGGAAAGGGTAGTAAAAGACCCAGGTGCAGCTGGGTACCTATTGCTATTGTCACATTTTCATTTTAATGCAGAAGTATCATGGATTTTTATCAAGTAACTTATGTAGTATTGTATATTTGTTGGAGTAACCACAAATATAATTATGAATTGTTTGGCATTTCATACATAGTAATTTACTCTTTTTACATGTTTTATTCACCATTCACAGATGCTGCGAACTCAGTTATTGTATGTCCGGGCATATTTGTTCACTTGTAGATCAGATGTTGGGGAACAATTGCGGAAGATGCTGTGGCCAAGGGAGCATATGTATGAACATGTTCACCTATACTCAGTTGCTGTAAGTATTAATAAATATCAGCTGCTAAATGTGTGAAATAGAATAAAAACAAAGCATCATTAACACACATTACCAAATAAATAACATAACCTATGTTATGTTATTTATTTGGTAATGTGTTTTAATCCTTTTTCTAGAAACTAAAAGTACAGTAAAATCAACTCTGTTTGATTTTTGTTAGAGAGCCAGCTTTTAAAGCATGTTTATGATATAAAATATTCTTGGCTGTATTTTTGGAGAAGTTTGACTAAATTTATGGTATATGGGGTCATCCATATTCAGCTACCATTTTGCCTTTGTAATTACATAGCAAGCAAATAATTTGTATATTATATATTGTATAAGCTCTGCTTGTGCCTTTATATATGACTGCTTGAGGGCTTTACTATCATGGTCCCCATTTCAGTGTGCAGTGCTTGGCAGGAAAAAGGCATCACAAGTTGAAAGAGCCAATTTTGAAATAATTGCGTGACTCTATTTTTCAGGATTTACAACTGGTGGCAACGGGTCAGCTCATGCCCAGAGTAAGACAAGCTGTCACTTTTGGTCGTGATCATATAGGTCAGTGTGAGGTGTGCTCTCCTCGTGGCTTTATCTGCGAACTTTGCACAGATAATGAAATCATCTATCCATTCCAGCTTGGTAATACTTACACAGTAAGTATTTACATGTATGGGTTTTCCAATCACTGAGTTGTGTATAACTTTAGATTTATAAGTCATTATTTGGCCTTCTTATCATAAAATTGACATCTTTGTAGTAAATCATTTATTAGGTATTCCTGTAGGAGTTGTCTAATGGTTTTTGCCATAAGACAAAAACCCTTTTTGTCTTAACTACACTTTTTGTTTATTTGGTGGGGCCAAAACAGTATTATATTTTCAATAAAGGCTGCCCAAATTATTAATTGCAGCAATTAAATACAAATTAATGATGTGTACTTTGAATATTTCTAAGTAAAGGAATAAATATATCAGCGAATTAGCTAATTTTGAAGGTACGAGTGTATTGCCTGGAATATCATATGTAAACATGGCAAAAGGTTTATTTATTATGTTTAAATTTCGTACAAGAAAACCTGTTTAATTTCAGTGTGGTGCTTGCTATGGGGTGTATCATGCCATCTGTGCTGGCAGACAGAGGGAGTGTCCTCGGTGTGTCAGGCGAGCGGCGAGAAGACAGAGAAGTCAAAGCTAACCTAATGAGTACAGTATATGAAAGAAAGTGAATATTTTAGTTGGTATTTGGGTTGAAACTTGCTTCAACAGTGTGTGTTGCTGTGTATAAGGTGCCCCTAAAAGGAATAAATTTCATTCCTGGTAACTATAGATTTTGAAATGTAATTGCACGTGGTAAGCTCTGAATATATATTGGGAAAATCAACGTAATTATCTTTCAACTAGAAATTGAGAAAGGATTTTTAAACAATTATATTCAAACAAATACTAGTGATTTTGTGATTAATAACTTGTGAGGATTGTGCCTTCTACCCTTAGATGTAAATGTGAATTTTCATTATATTTTAAACATGTGTATAAGTACTGTACTAATTTTTTATTTCCCCCTACTGTACACATCATTATGCTGTGAATTTTTTAATTCACTGCATAATGGTTTTTTTAATTTTTACGTTGTATCAATTTTATATACATTTGCTTAAATTTAATCATATTACTCTCAAAATAATAATTGAAATTTTCAGTAGAATATATAGGGAATATAAGGGCTTGTAATTAATTATGCATATAAGAAAATGATCACCAGCATCTCCTTGTATATTTGTTACTGTGTATGTGATTAATACAATAAATGTAGATTATGATACATCAAACTATATTGCTTTTATGTCCAAGTGTCAAGATATATCAGTAGTTTATAACAGTTGTAATGTGCAGTTTCAGAGGCCAAGAGGGTTTCAAGCTAACTTGACATATTGCATATTAGAAGAAAGGCCAAGTAGGTAAGTAATGAAACGAAAGTGTTAAGAAAATGAATTTTTTTTATGGAACTCGCAACTAAGTCGGACCCTTATTGGCATTTACGAAAGTACAGTACAGTACTGTACCTCTGGTGAGATTATAAAGAAATAATTTTGTTATGTTTTTATGATAATGTAAACTATTGCAGCACCCATCACAAAATTACTGAGGCACCAAACACAAAACTACTAGGACTCCCTTAACTACTGCACTGCACACCTGGTTTCGGCAAAAAGTTTTTAGTGGAAGTGTTAAGGACATATTTTCGTTATTTTTATAAATGTTCAGGTAAAGTTAATGTCAAAATGTTTCCAAACTCAACCATTTCCATTTCAAAACATAAAGAGTAATGAAAACATTAAAAAAATTAAAATGTAGCTTAATTAAAAAAAATAGCAGAACACTCGGAGCGCCTAAAGGCACTTTGTGTAATACAGTGGATGAGATCTATTGGTATATGCTTACTGATAAAGACTGTTTTAGATATCGGTGAATCGAATACTGTTACATCCCCAGCGCACAGCTGTGGTTTGATGCATCTAGTCGTCATGACATGGGGATTGCATGTTCCTTTAGAAAATGAGCTTGCAGAAAATTATTTATATTCAGGGTTTAGTGACCAGAATTCTGATAATAGTGTTGTGGCTAGAGTTAGTGATGTGCTTAGTATATCAGGAGGCACTTTCCTTTGTCAGGTTCTTGAATTATGAAATGACTACACCCAAAAGAATTTGCTTAGGGTTGTGGACAGGTGGGAATTACTATTTCCAGACTAGGATTTCCCTATACCCCTCCTAAATCAAAATTTCTTTTGCACGTTGAACGTGCAACCCATTGTTGCATGTTCTGACCTGCTTGAACAGTTTCAGAACAAGTGAGGGCAGACTCAGACATTTCAGTTAGTCTATTAGAGTGGTCTCTAATACCAGGTATCATTGCCCTTGTCGCCCATCTCTATTTTTTCTCTAAAGTATTGTATATCGATTTTGTATGTTATGGAATCCAGAACTGCACAGCATAGTCAAAGCGGAGCCTTACTAGTGCTAGATATAGCTAAAAGATGTACATTTGTGCTTCTGTTTCTGATGTTTCATATTATAAATACATTCCAGCACCCTATATGGGCTAGCTGCATTGTTCTCAAATTGTTAAGTTAACTCTTAAGTGTCATCAGAAGAGAGCTTATTTGAATTTGAAGAGCGCAGAAACATCCAAACAGGAACCTTCAGATCCATTGTGTATCATTATCGAATGCATGGGAATGTGTGAAACATTGTTTATATTAGGTAAATAAACTCGGCAGACTGGTAGATGTGGTCAGTTCTAATACAACTAGCTACAAATATCTCTTGACTTCAGTCTGGTGACACAGTGGTAGCACACTCGCCCAGCTCCTTGTGAGCGATTCTGTCTGGTTTCAAGCCCTGGCCAGGGAGGATTGACTATGCCAGTCCTTAATTGTTTGCTCGGAAATAATTGGAAACTTGGTTATTAACAGATTGGTGGGTCATGTTTCAGGGAAAACTAGTAAAGGGGAAATGAAAGGTCTATGGATGCTAACAAGAGTATGCTAAGAACACAAAACATGTGTTGACAAATTTGACCATTTAACAAGATTTAAACCAATGTTGCATAAAATAGCACATAACTATTTTTATTTACAGTGGTACTCTGCTTACTAATGCCCTTCTTCACGAACTCTTCAGGTTAGAAGCCCAATTTCTTAAGGAAAATTTGAATCGGGTTACAAACTTTACCTCTGGATACGAGTTTGTTGTACCCCGAGTTTGTTGTTTGTTGTATTGCACTGGGTCGGTGTATAGCCGACTCAGTGCGTGGTGACATGGCGATCGCGCCTCAGTTTATCAGTGCCTCCCGCCTAGTGACAATCATGCCTGAATTCTTTGTAAAGAATTACAGCTTTTTTTTTGGATTTTTGGCTATTTGAACATAAAATTTGTTATATATCTTGCCATAGGTCCCAATTAAGTCAGTGGTAAGGATCAGGCCAAGAAAACACATGTGAGAATGACCATAGAGGAAAACCATGAGGGTCGAGTTGGTGGAGGAACACAGCGTAGAACTGACCACCGAAGAACTGCTAGCTCTTCAAAAGGAGCAGCAACAAGAGCCAGCTGAGGAAATGGGGCGAGTACACTTGGGAACTTTTAAAGTGCAACCAAACATGCTTTAGGCTCTCACAACAAGAGGTGAGTGGTGGTGGCTCAGGTGCTCAGCCAATCAGAGCACCTAAGGAGGGAGGGCAGGAGTGAGAGGGGGTGTTATGTGGAAGTTTGGTGACAGTTGTGTGTAGTTTGTTCATCTTCATTGTAAGTTTCATGGCTTGGTGTGCATTTCCCTAGTAAATTTAAATAGGGAAAAATTCAGGTGTTTGATTTTTAAATCGACTTTTTAAATGTTGAGTTGTTAAAGCCTCAAAGTGCATGGAGTTGGTTTCGGAGTATGGCATCCCCATGCTGTTGGCTACCTCGCGTGAGGTAGCAAAGGTGATGTAAAGTTGTGGGGTGTACATGCTTGGGACGTCCTCTCTCGGGATGGCTGGTGTTAGACCTGTGTGTTTGTCGGTTGTTGAAAAGCCGTCGTCCTTTGCTGTTGTGGTATTGATTTTACATTGTTCATGTTGTAATTAATACTGTAGTGCGATATCTAGGGCTACCATTTGTAGGTTTAAAATGTCTAATACAAACAGTTGTCCAATGAGTTTTAATAGGAAATATCATCCACCAAGCACCATTGTACAATTATATTAATTGATAGTATATGGATTGTGCAGAACTGCTTAGAATGATCTTGAACACTTGGGTATATTGGTCATGTCAAATACCTGCACGGTGAATGCTCAAAGACCCTTTCTTTATTCAGTGTTGTCACATACCTCACGGGGGTATGGATAGGCAAACACTCATTCGGTTAAACTTGCCTTGTAGTACTTTCAGAGCTCATTAATTTGGAATCTAGTTAGCACTTTCCAAATAAATTGACCTTTAAAGTGAATTCCTATTTAGGTTTAAAACATTATACCGAATGAGAAACTCGGATTATATAGCCGAACACCAGAAATGTTGTTATTCAATTTGGTTGCCTAAAGCACATTCAAGGACTACACATTACATGGCATTCCAGGATTCCTCTATACCTTGCCTTATGCTGTAAACATTGCCACTACCCTGTGTTTTATTGATTTAAATGGCCACAGGGAGGCATACAACACTGCAGATTATGATGTCATTAGTTATCCACTGTGCTGACAAGTGGGCTGACTGATGTTCGTTGACACCTGTATCGTGCTTCAATTTAATCGCCAGGAGATCACCCTCTCACTAGAGTCGTCTGTAGGAAGTACAGTATAGTATCTCAAATTACCTTGGATCATAAATAGCATAAGACTTGGGGGTAGGAGAGGGTTGCAGTGTTTGTCATGGCTCTCAGTTGTTCCTGGTATTAGGCAATTTAGTTCTGGAATCATTTTTGTTGGCCAATGTTAAACTTTTTCGAAAGTAGATGTTTTTCTGAAAAGGAAGGGGGGGGGGAACCTCTATGCTTGGATACAGTTATCTTAAGTGAATACTTAGATTTATACAGTAGAATAACTACCTTCTTTTCCTTAGTCAAAAGGTTGCTTGTTTATTTCTAGGGACTTGTATTTTCTTTTATTTTTAACTGCAGCAACTTTCAGTGAATGATAGATTCTTACTGAAAGGACCTTTACTTCATTGTTGTTGCTTTATGGTCATCTCATTGTGTACAGGGATTCCGCGAAGCTTTTGGGGTTAGTCTTTGACACTCGTTTGTCGTGGTCAGCCCATATCTCTTGCCTCCGAGTTGAATGCTCTAAGGCCCTTAACCTCCTTAAGGTTTTGTCCCATACTTCTTGGGGAGCGGATAGGCGCACGCTCCTCTATTTGCACTCCTCTCGTCCTGTCTAAACTCAATTATGGTTGCCCTGCATACTCTTCTGCTTCTCCTTCTACTCTTCGCCATCTTGATGCTTTGCACCATACTGGGTTGCGTCTCGGCTCTGGTGGCTTTCGTTCGACTCCCGCCCTTAGTTTGTATGTTGACACTGGCTTTCTCTCTCTTCAGGACTGCCGTGATTGCTACTGTCTTCGCTATCTTGCGCGGTCCTTCCAACATCCTTCCTCTCGCCTCTGTCGTGCATTGACTTTTCCTCCTGCTGTGGTTCCTGTTCCTCTTCATTGTCTCCCACTTTCTGTCCAGTTATCTCGCTTACAGGATTCTCTTTCTGTTCATATTTCTAATGTTTCTCCTCGTATTGTTCCTTCATTACCTCCGTGGAGAGTCTCCCTTCCCAAGTTTTGTACGTCCTTGACTTGTATTACTAAAGCCTTTACCCCTCCTACAATTCTGAAAAGCCTCTTCCTTGAGCACTTTTCTTCGCACTCCCACTCTATTTCCATCTTCCCTGATGGGTCTAAGTCTGCGGATGGTGTGGGGTACTCTGTTGTTTTTCCTGGCCGTACTTACATGTGTCGCCTCCCTTCGGAGGCTAGCGTCTTTACGGCAGAACTTTATGCTATTCTCTATGCTCTTTGTCTCTTGCTTTCTCATTCTCATTCCTCCTTTGTGGTTGTAGTTGATTCTCGTAGTGGCCTCATGGCTCTAGGGTCCTTTAATCCTGTCCATCCGGTGGTCATTGAGAATCAACATTGGCTGTTTCTTATTTCTAGTAAATTTAAATCAGTAGAGTTTTGCTGGGTTCCCAGCCATATTGGTGTTTCAATGAGCGTGCGGATGCTGCCGCTAAGGAAGCTATCCGTTCTTGTCCCATCTCCCGTAAAGGTATTCCTTATTCCGACTTTTATCCTGTTAT